GGGGTCAGCAGAAACAAAATGGAGGCCTTTGTTATATCTTTGGCGCGCCCCAACATCAATCTATAATTGACCTTCAGTAGGCGATAAAATGGTCAAAATAGTCCAATATAGTCCGATTGGGGAATATTTTTGTCTTGTAGAAGCGTACTTGCGGTATCAAAGCTTGGTGATTGCATCCCTGCCCTTTGATCTAGAATCAGGGGGATAGAGGGAGACTTTGCCTTTCTACGGACAGCTGTTTGTGCCTCCATTTTCTGTTAGGAATGTGGTGGAAACAGTTTAGATTCAAATCTACGATAACACCACCTCCAGCCAAAAGCGTTTCCCTCGGTCGTGCCAGAACACTTTATTAAGCTCGTGGCAGAACATAACCCGGGTCTGGAGTTGAATACACATCTGGCTGCGAGCCCCTGATAATCAAATGCCGAAAAGCTTTCCAAAAAACGATATTTAACGTGACAAAGAATACAGACATATACTCTTCGTCCATCCACATCCACATACGCCTACAGATGAATAAAGGCTTTAGATCAGGCGATATTACAGAAATATCCTTATAGACAGAAATATTCACAATATTGCACAAACAAGAAATCCAACATCTCATACCTACGTGAAATGTTTAAAGGCTTTATCAATGCCGTGTTTTATCATTATTGTGAAATTCTCACTGATTCTGTCTGTACGTTTTCACACTGGCTCCTTCACGACAGCAGTCATGCGTATAGCAGAAAATAAGCCGGGAATGCGCGCCTTTTTTGGGACACACAAGCAAAAAGACGACGTACTTAAAGCAAAACATCCTTACACAGAGGTAATGCGTCAATAATTGGCAAGATATGCTTCATTGCCATATATGGATGTAAAACCATAATAACCCACCAATACTCCCAATCCTTGGGCTCTTTGCCACACATAACTGCGGTGTGTGTGTGCCAAATTCTGTGTTTTTGGTAATCCTTATGGAATATCCCTGCCGTACGAAAATATGTCATGTAATGCGTTATAGGGTCTTTTTCAATACGTCGGTATGTAGGCGCAGCAATCTAATCTTTAGATAAATCCTTTCTAGGACCGCATGGGTGGCCGGAAATCTTATTACTCTGCTAGCCTTCTCAGCAGGCTCTAGGAGCCGGGCTTTTTTTTGCTTCTAATGTGCTTTTTGCTAGTTCTTGGTACTCAGTTTCTTGTGGACAGCCTCCGTACCATAAGAACTGATATGCCATCAGAGAAAAAGTACGGTATATTTTTGATTTGTATAAAAATGACTCGTAGAGCCTAATAAAGAGGCTATCACTCTACCTCCCGAAAAAAATACTGACTCACACCCGCACATTACGAACCATTAGGGGGCGAAAAGTGCCGTGATATCGTGACAATACGCTTGTACTGCCGTCATTAACACCATTATAATCCCCTTTCGTCCAATTTTTCACGCACTCTATCGTACGATCATCGTACGATGGCAACCTGAGGATGAGAATATTCCTGTGATAGTCGCCCCTATGTCGTCAACTGCCTTGTTATGGAAAAAGTGTTCATTGTCGGCAGTTAGTTCTATCAGATTGCTTGACAAATGTGACCGCCCTTAAAGGCACCTGCCTGGCTACTGAGGTCCCTGCAGAAACCCTGTCAAAGTCGGAATGTTTGAATCCGAAAATCGAATCATGTTACAAGTGACAAACATTTTACCGCTTCAAGCCCAGGTAGCAGTAATGAATGCTCTGTTTGACCTACAAGCGTACCTGGTGTCTCCGAATGATTGAACACCTTTCCCTGGAGAATTTCCCGAGCACGAGTTTGAATTACACGGCCCCTATTTAACAAGACCTACGCATGCCATGTTGTCCATCCAGTCTTATTAAAGTCAACCAATAATTGCCCCACCGAGAGGCGCGTCGTAAAATTTTTATGACACCGAGATTAAATTTCTAAATGCGGAAGAAAGCCCCCTTGGCCTGGCGTATAGGTTACACAAAGGCCACGGTTGTGAGATGGTTAGAAGAGCTAAAGGTTTGGACCAACTGTCATACCATATTATACCCCCGTTAATTCACCTGTGAGTTAGGGTAGGGTGAAGGTCTGTTTTTGCGTGCAGTGAACGAACACGTCAACATAACTCTCCAGATGCAATACGTTAAAAGGGATCCGTTCGTTTGCATCGATTTATCCTGAAATACACCTTAACCCAACTACAACAGTACAGAGACAAATCCAAAAAAGTAACCAAATGTCACAAAGTGAGACGTTACAAGCAATTGTTCGATTTTGGTCCAAAATTTGGATTCAAAATCATGTTCCACTAAGTTTGAAATTTTGAAATCTTTTAATCTTGGTCGCTGAAAATGTCTGTAAAAACGGACGGATCTTTCTGACAGATATGCCCTAATCCTAGCTGATAGCACTGGAATGTACGTTATGCTAGTGACTATGGTACTTACAATTTAGAGCTTTTAGACTAGAGTAGCCACGTGTTCTGTATATTTTGCTTCATTGTATGTTCGTGCTTTTGCTTTTAGCTCTCGGACAGGACATACCATATGGATATGCGAACCTATACATTCCAAGGCGCCGTTTTACGAACTTAGTAGGCTTTCCTATCGTAGTTATAGACTCTCTGGGCTTGGAAGTCCTAACCACCTGTGCCAATTAAGGGTGTTATAACTAATGCCTACACCACATTTACGATTGAGACGTAAAATCACACAGTCACTGAGGTACCTGTGCCGGGCATTCCGCCAGCTGACTCTGAATCTCGTCACCTTTCTCAAACCTCTTTCATCGTTAGCGCTTATTTCGTGCAGCCCGTCTTCCTGCTTTGGCTTTGTAAAGTGTACTCTTATACCATTACTCCTAGTCCTAGGCAGTCTGTCCAAAGTAGATTTTACCTGATTTCGAGAAGCAGTGTTACCTTGTAGTCCGTGTGAGTGTGCAATATTGAAAAGTGGCACTTTACTAATACTGTTGCCAAGACTTGTGTTAGTTATATCATGTAAATCCTGAAGAATACCAATAAGACTAAAAGCCCCGTCTTTTCCTGGGGCTAAGATGCTCACATCAGGCCATCGATCGACGCCACTCTTGCCTGATTGGATACCAAGGCGCAACTCTGGAAAGACCGCTGTATTCTCGGTCATCAGTACTTGGGGCATCAGTATTGAGGTGGCAAGCAGAATCTGTGGGTACTGTTTTCAAATCCCAACAGTCGCAATGTTGTGCCATTAGGTAACGCACTTTACAGGTCAAACAGGTGCCGTTGTGCTGCTGGACATAGTTGTATTTCCAGTTGAATCATGCCAGTACGTCTTTTGATGAAAGAATCCTTCATCCTTCAAAAGGAAAAGATGAAAAGAATCTTTATTTTGCAAGTTTGTCTAAGAAAATGAAATTTAGTTTCTGTTAATTTTTCCCCTTTTTTCTCCTTCAAATTTACTCCTGCCATGCATCTCCACCCCTTCTCTCACCTCATGACAGGACGCTGATTGGTTAATCCAGTCAATACAAGGTGGAACTTGCTCAAAAATCGATCGCAATCCGTGCAGGTAGGCCGCCCCGAACCGTTCATCTCTCCCCTGCTGTGATAGGGTCGTGCGGGTTGCCATGGTGATGGATGAGGATCTGTAACCTAAGCAGGCCGAAATTACTTCTCATCCATCAACAGCAGAGCTGACAGATGTTTAGGAATCAGGTATAAATAGCCTCGGAAACAGCAAAGGATCGAGACTGTCGTGTGTCCGCGACACAGTTTATAGCCTCAAAAATAGCACAGGGTGAAGACCGCCATGCGTGAGAAATACAGTCATACTCATAGCCTCGGAAACAGCACGGGGTGAACGTCCGAAACAGCACAGGGTGTCGCGCATTAGTGACATAGCCCCGAAAACATACACCAGAACCAATACGATAGCCACAGGAAGAGACAATTGACACATTCATGCTTAATTCATCAACACACGGTGGTTAGAACTACAGTTTTCCAGACCAGGTAAGAGCAGGAAACAAACGCGTCCAAACGTGTGAGGAGCTGGAGTTATCACCTGCCCTGCGTCTGAACAACAAATACAGCACCTTCTGCCACGTTTCAAGCAGCTGCTCAACAAAGCCTTCGGGGAGTACTAATGTCATCAAGCTTGCTGTTAGGTGTTTACTATCATTGCTGCATATGCAGCTTTTATTATCAATATCTAAAACCTTATCTCTCTGAATTCTTAATCTTGTCTTGTACTGGCAAGAAAACAGTGAAATAATTCACTAAACTGTTTTTTACGTTGATGCTGGAAGACATTTTACTCTGCGATCGATTTTTCTAACTAACAACTAACCCTTATTTCAAAGTGATTGACAGCCAAATAATGCCCTGGAGCGCCCTAAACACAGACGAAAGATTTGGGTCATAAATGCTACTGAAATGTTAAGCCATAATAGCGGCAGAAATGACGGGTCAGGGACTGAAATATAGGTCACCAAAACAGTAATAGTGCAATCTAAACGTCCATCCAATGCTCCGGTGTAAAATCGCGAGTAGATGATCATTCTCTCTTCCTCTACCGTCTGTTTCAGTGGCCATTTCACGCCAACTGCCCACATATTGACGCCATTTGCAGCTGTGTCTCCTGTACACGCACTTGCCTCTGATGTCGTTTACTCTTGCGATAGCAACAACCTCTCTTCTTGAGCATGCGTCTAAACTAGAATATTGATCTTGGCCAAAATAAATATACATATTTCCGATTTTGGCATAAAGAGGAAAATCTTAGTCACTGATAAGCTGACAAAACCATGTTTTCAGACTCAGGAGCAAGATCCAGAATGCAGACACAATCTTACTGGAGATTTTCAAATTGAGTACTTAGTAGAATCTGTTAAACGGGAGTTTAGAAAATTTAAGAATAACATTGTTAATGACGACCTTCGCCATTAGGAGTCTCATTACATGTCGATCTTCGTCTTTAGCTTTGCCGTTTCTTGGATTTTCAAAGACCGTTTTCTACACTTTCCAGATTTTGTCAATAATGTCACCGAGACTGCCAAGAATGACACGAGAAGAACGCCTTACAAGATCGGCTTCTTCGACTCCTTCTTCTTCTGTGGTACGATCGCCACCACCATAGGGTATGGGCACATCTATCCTTTCACGGACGCAGGCAAGGTGAGTTACCCTGCAGCAGCAGTGTTCCCTACATTACCTTGTTGCGTGGTAACCTAGCGGTTGATGGCATTATTGCACGACGAAAAAGGTTCGCAGAAAAATGCTGAAAATGAAACATTTTTGCACAAATGTGTACTAATGTTAGCAATGTGGCGTTCGAAAGTAGCGATAAATATTGCAGACAGTATATCGTTGTCTTTATGCAAGCTATAGAACGGCATTGACTAGAACATTACTGTTACTTCTTCCCTCCAGGTGTTTTGCATCGCCTACGCACTTGTGAGCATCCCGCTTACCCTGTTCATGTTGGCTGGCATTGGCGGGAAGCTGGGAAATGCCAACAGATGGGTGGAGAATAGGGTAAGTAGTTACGGCTCACCCCTATTTTTACTTCATCATCAGTCAGTAGTTTTCCACTTTCTGGCCAATGACAAAAACAACAGTGAAGTATTTATAGTAAGTTTCTTGTTTTATTCATTATTCAATAGCCACAGGCACGTGCACAAGTAAACAAAAGACAAACATACCGAAAACAAAACCCGCATGCACTGAGCTAAAAACAGAAACACGCCAAAATCGGAAGTACAGAAAGATCCAGTCACTGCAATAGTGAACACAGTTTTCAGCACCAAGGACAGTACCATTACAAATCAAATTCCCGAAACGTGATTACGAGCGTAGGTCAAAAGCCCAGAAAAGAAAGAAACATGGAGGTTTGGACAGATTTGACCTGGTTTCTTTATGCATATCATAGTGTGTACCTTGTATTTTTTTTCTTTTTCATCGCAGGTCAAAAGAGTTATCCGCCGTCCCTATCTAATCAGGGTCTTTATGGTACTTTTCATCACCATATTCGGTCTGGGCCTGTTCTGCTTTGTCCCTGCTTACATCATCATGTACGTGGAAAAGTGGAGCTACCTGGACTCTCTGTACTACGTCTTCATCACGCTCAGCACCGTCGGGTTTGGGGACATGGTCGTGGCGCAGAACCCGGTGAAGGAACACTGGGCGTACGACATCTTGTACAAGATTGCGGTCCTGTGCTGGATCGTGGTCGGCCTGAGCTTCTTGGCCACCATCTTTGACCTGATTGCTGAGGCCATGCGAGGGCTGAAGGAGAGGCTGGAGGAAGAGATGCGGTCGAATCCGCATCTTCGACAGGTGACGGACTTCGCGGGGAAGGTTGGGAGCGAGGCTAAGGATCTGGCTGGGAAAGTTGGGAAGGTGGGGTCAGAGGTCGCTCACGTCGCCAGCATGCCGGTCAAGGGCATCAAGAAACTGAGCCAGAAGGACAAGGACAAGGAAGACAAAGAGAAGGAAAAGGATGGCAAGCAGAAGACAAAGGATGACAAAAAGAAGAAGGCGACAACACCAACCGAAGAAGACGCCATCGTCGGAACTGAGGGAAGCTACAGGAAGACAGGAAGTCACGAGAACCTTCCTGAAGTAGGTGTACCCAACGGACCGGAAATACCGGCTCAAAGTCAAGATGATCAAAACATTCCACAAGAAGGGATACAAATGGAGAACATCCCTAGTAAGGAAGAAGCGGAAACTGCTAAGCAAAGTCAAGAACAGCCGACTGAACCGACCAATCAGGTTCCCTCTTCTGACGAAACAGCCCCTTCTGATGTGAAGAAAGTGGCGACGGAGGAACCGGATGTGACGCAAGAGGTACCGGCTGTAAAACCAGAGGTACCAAAGGTTAAGCCAGAGGTACCACAAGAAAAGCCAGAGGTACCAAAAGAAAAGCCAGAGGTACCAAAAGAAAAGCCAGAGGTACCAAAAGAAAAGCCAGAGGTACCAAACGAAAAGCCAGACGTACCGAAGGTAAAGCCAGAAGTAAACGTGGCGTCAGAGGCACCGGAAGTAACGCCAGAGGCACCAGAACAGGTGACCCAGTCGACGGAAAGCGCACCAAAACCGGAAGAGGCGGAGCCAGCAAAGGTGGAGCACGTTGATGAGACTTTAGGAGCCCAAGAGAGCACAGCTGGTGCAGAGAAAGATTCTGCTGCTGGAAAAGACGGCACGACAGTAGGCGCTGATGCAAATGAACCACCAGACTCTACTGACAAAAAACAAGAGGACCTGGACAGGCTCATCTAAAATTGCAAAATGTTTAAATGACAAGCGTTTTAGTAAACCGAGAATTAATTAACAGATTTTAAACCCATCACAAAATAGGCTGGTGGAAAGCCACAACAGTCTCCACTACAGCGAAAAATCAATCAGCCACTAGGCGAGGTTGATAACATTGTTTAACCGGACGTTTTGTAAGAGACACATTTTTCATGTTTTCGTAGGTTTGTATTTTAGTGACTGTTGATTGATTACAGTATAATTCCAATTGTATAAAAGTAGTAAATCAGTCGCGGGGGAAACAGGGTGCTCTTGCAGTTTAATTGAAGCACATAACACATGACGTGTGCTGCAACAGACGTATAATGGAAGGCTCCGAAATAAGGACATTCATGAAAAATGGCAGTCCGAGCAACAGTAAAGGAAGATAGTTATAGCCACCACTTACAGTGGCTCATACCATGACAGTAATGATAGTTTTAGTGATGATACCTTACACAAGACATCGAAACAATGACACACAATGTAATTGAGGATTTTGGTAGATAGTCATGTAGCAAATCTCACATGGACTAGTCTTAATGACCATAGAAACAGCTTGTGGTTGCTTGCGTGTCCATAGAACCCAGTGATCTATCGTACATTTCAGTACAGTACAGCTGATTCGGTGATATATATATATCACGAAAAGTTGTCATCTCTTGTGGCGCTAATTACAGCAAGACTATCTGGATTGATGTCAAGATGTGGCATTGTATATGTGTAGACGTAGGCACATATCGGAGGATTCTGACGTCTTTTATTACTGTCTGCTATTCTCTCTTATGAGCAAGGTGTCAGCACGTGAGTTTCAGCGATCATTGTTGTGACAGTCGCCTCAAAAGCGACACCTGTTGATGACGTTCTGAACTGCTGATACGGCAAATGCCTCCGATTTCGAGGACTCGTATTGTTGCTACTAGACGAAGTTATCTAATTGTAACGACGCTTCAACTTCAGATGTATCATTGTCTCAATGCTTGCTCTTTTGTGGATGTAGATGAGATAATTGTATTTATGAAATGATAATAGTGGTAGTTGTTGTTGCTGTTGCCGTTGCTGTTGTCGATTAGTGAAAGTTGTTTGTATTGCAATGTAGGGTATAACCGTTGCAGAACCTGATGAGATGTGCAATGTTGGCAACTAACTGTTTGTAAAACCTGAAATATTTACCTGACAGGTGCATTTTGTATGGCGTTGTGATATCTTTGCATTCGTATTTGTAGACAATCGTATTTGTGTCAATAAAAACGCAATTATTAATCTATCTATACTATGTATGTTATATAAACTGCAGAGGTGACTCAGTGGATGCTATGAAAATTCTTCCAAGTCTTATATAAACGGCGCGGTCACATTCGTCGTCGATTGTTGTACAATATTCGTACCGTAGCATTTTCAAGCACGCTGTGACAGAACCAACGTTAACCAACGACAGCTAGCAATCTAAGGCACCTTTTCTGTAACAAGACAGCTGACCTTTGTACAACACATGAATGGCTATCCAAAGTCAAATGTCTTGAGTTTGCAAAAAAATATGAAAAGGTAGCGTTTGCAGGAACGTTTCAAGCTACATTTGGTAATGGACTAGTCTCAATGACATTAGTAGTAACCAAGAAACGTGCAAAACATTCACCAATGACGACTTCAAGACCGCGTCTTCAAAGTAAACAGACATTCTATGTCAATTAAGGGGCCATTAAGAATACTCTGTCGTCCTTCGAAACGAAATACGTATCTAGTTACTATTCTTCGTTAGCAGTCTCAACTTCCCATGCCATGAAATCACGCACATGTGGGAATATACCGACCGTGGATGCCGACATGGAACTGATGTCACGTCACATGTGACATTCTCCAGGGATTCAGAGAGTCTTTTAACGTAGATTTACATTACTACTTTAACATAGCAACTCTTGTGGACGCTAGTTCCGAGCGTGACCATTACAAAGGCGTCATAAAACAACTCGAAACATAAATGCTAGAAGACTTCCTCTAGAAAAGACCTCCGCCCATGTCGAGCCACCGTGCCTATCCCATGGGGGAAGGAACTATTGTTGAGATCGCCGAATGACCAACCAGCACAGATCACGCGATTGTCTCCTTCAGCTTCTTACAATTACTTCTCGTGTTGGAGTCAGACCACACGCCAGGCATTGGCCCAAAGGCCACTATTTTCATGTTGCGAACACTTAATTTGAGCTCATTCCTCGGTTTTTAGTTCAAACAGCAATTGTTGATGTATAAGCATACCCAATATGAAGTGGAAGAGCCTGGCAGGATTGATCGTGACATTTTTCCTGTATTTGATGATCGGAGCTTTTGTCTTCATTGGTATCGAGAAGCAGCCGTACATGGCCAATCTGACCGAAGTGAAGATGAATTTTCTTCGGGATAAAAGTGGCTCCATCGCCGCCGAAGATCTAGACGCTTTCGTCGAAGAAGTCCTGCAAGCAGCGGGGGTGAAAACAGGTAAGGATACATCCTTATCCTTGCAAGTAGGTCGCTAAGGAGTTCACAAGGAAAGATGGATGAATTACGTCTCCCTATGTTTGATATAAACTGCTCAGAAATATGCATATTCTCTTCAGCCCTTTCTGTGTCGTATCCCTAACTAATACATGTACCAGGAGACTTTCCTTCTGCTTTTCTATTTCTCTGATCACATATTTTCTGAAAAGTGGAAAGTATAAATATGAAAGTGCAAAGAAAACTAGTGACTAGTGAATTCTTGTGATAGCCATGCATGTGTCCTGCAAACCTGCAAACTGTTTTGCTACGGAAAAGTCTGCATTGGATACCCGTCGGCGGTTGGTTCTGTCAAAGCCTGCCTGAAAATTGTACATCAAAATCGCATCTCCTATATACGACGAATGTGACCGTGACGTTCACAATAGGAAGAATTTTTTTTTAAAGCAGGGGCTTAGCTGTACACGATGGTGGGTCAGACTGGGTCTAATCTACTTACACAGGTCCATCGACAACAGATGAACAATTATCGCTGAAGTTCAATGGTAAAAACATTCTGCTCAGGTCAACCATTACACTTGCTACAAAATTGTACTGATAAGCAGTTGTCACGCGCGAGGTCTCTAGTGGATTTGCACAATTTCCACCTATCGATCCGCTTAAAGACTTTAACAAAGGAAAATCGCGATGAACATTCTATCATTAGAATGGTTCTTTGGTTTCTGATTTTTTTATTGATTACATAGTGCGATTTGATTGACTAATGTAAATGAGAATTAAATGTGCTGATTAAGACAAATATTACCATGAATATTTTCGCAACCATTTTATGATGCGACCCATAAACGAATCCAGTTCAAGACGGGCAATCCATCACTGAAATATTAATACAGATAGTCATCACCACTTGATAATGTCTTTTCCAGTTACAAGTTTCAAAAATTGGTAATAGTACTGTATATACTTCGAACGACGACCTAAGACCTAAGAATGTGTCGGCGCCGTGACTGTTGTCTACATTCGCAATGCATCACATTCACCCCTATCACCAGCACATTTATAACGTCTGCTGACTTCTTCCCTCCCCATGTTGTTCTTCAGCCAAACCTCCGTCCAACTTTACAGCCGAGCCGTGGCCGTTTTACGAGGCTCTTTTCTTGTGTGGGACTATGGTCACCACCATAGGGTAAGTGTTTCTCTTGCGTTCCAATCTAATTATTATGAGGTGGATTGGAGTAAGTGGGGAAGAGAGTGGGGATGGTGTAACCGCAGACTGACAAAAAAAGATCGAATTGGAGGTCAAAGTGGTCTTCCCGCAGGCTGGGAAGAACTCAGCAACTCAAGGATAGACTCCGCCAGAAATTCATAATAATGCGGAGGTGTAAAATCTCTGATTTCTTGTTACATTTTTTTTCTTCACATTACCACAGGTACGGACACATCACCCCCAAAACAGTGGGTGGTCAGATCTTCTGTGCCGTGTACGCTCTCTTCGGCATCCCGGTAACACTGTTCATGCTGACTGGGATAGGAGAGAAACTCAGCAACGTCAGTCGCTTCGTCGAGAAAAAAGTCCGGACCAGGGTCTCCAACCAGAAACTCATCCGCATCATCAACCTGCTGACCAGTCTTGTCTTCGGCTTGGGATTATTTTGTTTCCTCCCCGCGTACCTGTTCACCATCGTTGAGGGTTGGGAATATCACACCGCACTGTATTTCGTGTTCATCACTCTCACGACAGTCGGCTTTGGTGACTATATCCCCGCCCAAAACCACCTGGACCACCACGCCCACGACGCTACGTACAAAACCGCGGTTTTCTGCTGGATTATTGTCGGACTGACTTTCCTTGCCGGCATGTTTAATTTGATTTCTGAGGGACTGAAGGAGTTGAAGAATAAAGTTGAAGATGCGACCATGGCGAATCTGAACACGGTGAAGCGGCTGACCACCATGGCGATAGACCGGGGGAAGAGCCGGGACCCTTCCCCCTGTAGATCGTCCTCTGACCTGTCGATCAGCCAACAGCCGATCCTAACCAGCCTTGTGTCGCCTGCAGGCACGGAAAACCAGCTGAAGGTTCCTCAGGAAGTAAACAACGGGACTTCCCATTAGACTGGGATGACCATGATACATTGTCTTACAAACGTCGTGCGATCGTCGTACGATCGCAAACTTGAATAGTCGTGCATGTGTCCTACGAAATTTAGCTGTCACTTTACGGAAAATGCTGCCTTAGACCCTTTCGGTGGTTACGGCATCAAAATAGTAGGACGCGTACGACCTACGTAGAATGTGACCAAACAACAACAAGCGACAGCGTGAATAACAACAACAATCTCATAATACAAGTCATATTTTTTCCTTTTTAAATCATCATTCGGTTAAATCACCATTGCGGTTATGGTATGATAAAATGTAATGTAAATATGTAAATGAACGCTGAACAGACCATCCAAACTTGTATGTGTACAAAGGATGTGTAAAGACTAGAAAACTAGAACACAGAGACAAAGGAGCGCTAGCACTGTGGCACCTTGAGAAAGATTTGAGAGGTCGGACAATAACAGCATATCAATGTGCATTAGGACTTCTCTCATCACTTCTACCACAAATATGGTCCTTTTGAGCTTTAAAGAGTCATCGAACAACTGACAATGGAAAATTGATCGTGTGTAAACCCAAGTACATGTAGGTTGGTACAGAATAAAACACGTGCTTGTGACTTGTCCATTATACATGTAGCTATGTCTCAGATATATAGAAACATTTATGTAAATTCAGATTGATGTACGAAGCAGAATAGTTTATCATAAGAGTAATACAACCTTTTATCATAAATATTCGATGTAATTTTAACATTTAATGAGAAAATAGATGTACATTTCATCATTGATATTTTATCAAACTAGATGCTTTATATGCCTGTTCCAAAGTACGCAGGGCGTGTGCTTTTATATCGGCTCTCTACTGCTAGTGTAAAAAAACATGATTACATTAGCATAGGCAACAGAATAAAACTGTCTTGTACCTTTACTTGGGTAAAGTTGGGCTATCTTGTTAGTGCTCTGTCACATACGTCATGCGATCATAGTCCGCTTGAAAATGGAAGTCATTCGTGGGACCTGTCATGTGTGTGACCTCCAAAATTAATGCAGTAAACGAAAAAAAACTATCTTAAATCCTTGTAGACGGTTGGTTCTGTCACAGCCTGCTTGAACATTCTGCGGCATCAAAATGGTAGGACAATCCGAAATGACCGCGTATGACAGCGTATGATTATGCTTCTCCTTATCATCTTCTGATATTTAAAAAAAAATAGTTTATACGAAAATTGCATCAAGTGTTCAACATTCCTTTGCTGTAATACCAACCATGACTTTGACACTGACTGCGTGCTATCAGGTGGTTAGACATAGTACGTCAGCAGACTAATATTATCTTGATGTCAGTGACATGTCGTCATTTTGTACTGCGATAGTAAAACAGTCTTTTCAATGGCAGCAGGCCATTAGGTGCCGTAACGGCTAGATGTGTTTCCTGTGTTTTGGGTTCCAAACACCGCTTGACGCTACGGACAAATTGGCAAATCTCACGCGATGGTGCCTAATTGGGCTTTCATCCACTTTGTCGTATTGTCTGTGTTTACATTAAAGTCGTTTCCAACTCCCCATGGACCTAATTGTCCTAATTTTCAAGTTAAGATTTGTCTTTTTCACAGTGAAGGTCCATTAGCGTTGCATGTTAACCGTCTAATGCACTGTCATCTCCACAGGCGCTCGTACTTGTACTTCACGATGGGGTTGCGGTAACTGCATGTTTTCACAACAACAATGAAACATGGTACGTCATGAGGCAAGACAAAGACAAAGAAAATTAAAACTTTGCAAATTGATCCATTATATATAATTATATGGCGACGAAATCAGGGACTAGCCTGTGAAATATTTCAATAGTGTTGCCACAAGGCTTGTTTGCGCCGTTATATTACCTGAAAACGTTGCATTGTCAATTGACGAGCAGGTTTTTGACTCATGGAAACACTTGCAAAGATACGCCATCTGGCGACATATTGTAGAAATGCTGATTCTGTAATGAACGGTCTGGTAGCCATGTTGATTCTTAAAGATGTCTTATGATATGCACAACAACCCCCTACCAATGATTCTTCATTACTCATTACTGTTCACGAGGATATTCCAGGCAACACATCCCTGCGGTTGATGTTACAATAATAAATCTTCATTTCCTTTACAATTGTGTATCAGTCGTTACAATACGCTTCACTCTGGTAAAAGTGACATTAGGAAATTACCCAAGGGTGCCATTATAGAACATGTCAAGTGACAGTAATCCATAGAGGGTTCACGCGTGACACACTTGAACACTTAACCAGTACATCAACGATTGACTGGGACATAGGACAGGTATAATTAAGGAATTTGTTACTTCGGGGCTACGTATTAAACAACGAATTCCTGAAATATCGGTGGAATATTTTCGGATTTGTACCTGACGCCTGACTCAAATTGGACGGGGAATTTGATCAAATCCATCAGAAACACTCATGTTCACGGCTAGTTGTGCTAAGTGAATCAGTAACATACATGGATATGCCTGAAGCAAAAAAAAAAAACACTAATGGAGATTCAGTCGTGTAGAGTGGATAAAGGTTGCATACTTTCAGCTTAGGGCCGTGTATCAAAGGCTCAACGTCTTATTTCGACGGGCGAATATATAATGGCTGTTAATAACAAAGCGTGTTTTTCTGAGGGAGCTTAGGCTATACATCAAGTCAATTTTATGGTTGACATCCGCTCGCTTGAGAAGAAAGTACCGAAAATAGGAAAATATATCGTGGTAGGCGCCTTTACTGTACGTGTTAGAGTGACAGTGTCGTAGCCATCAGTGTAGTTGTAGAAGTCACATTGGTGAGCTAGCCTTCAATGCAGTAGAAGTGACATTAGTGTGGTGGCCTTGGGTGAAGTTGTTGTTGTTTGTTGTGCTACCACACTACCGTTACTTTCTGCACTTCTTCCATACCAGAATAAAAGACTTGTTGTGATATTATCTTCTCGTCGCTTGAATAGTCGCACATTTATAGTCTCTATTTTAAAAATCTAGACTGTCACTGTTCTTTTTTTTTTGCGCCACCATATTAGATTTTGGAGTCTGCCGAGGATGCCATCCATTACATTTACTTGCCTATACATGGAGGCCTAGACGATATACTTTCCAGCAACCTGAAGCATTTTCTTTCACAATTAGGGGCCCGGTCACACACGTCGTACTATTGTCGTACAATCGCAATATGAAGGCATTCTCGGGATAGTCTGTCCAAGTCCTGTGAAATTCAACTGTCTTAGATCGGTTGGGTCTGCCACAGCCCGCTTGAAAATTCTACGACGTCAGAATCGTACGACAGCCTAAGCCGAGTGTGGCCTCGCCGTGGGGCACCGTTACGAGAGAGATGGAAACATTACCACGGGCTGTGTTTGCAGAACTGCGTATGAAGGTTATAGAGTACTAAACCAGGAACGTCTGGATTTGAAGCTACAGTCTAATGGACGCTATGATTGAGTGGGATTGCCAACCTTCTGTGAAGAGTGACCTTTTATAAATCGGAGACCATTATCGTCTGCACAGACAACCTTTCAACTTCACTTATATGCAGCACTCCCCGGGGCGATGACTCTTGATATTTTGTACTGCACCTGCTCGTGGAAGTCAATGGGCGTTCGGCACGGAAGTTGAGCCCAAGGATGTAACATGTTCTGACAAACCCATGCACTCACTAATACTAACCATCAGTAGTTCCTGTCAAAGATTACATGCTGGGGTTTACTCTGAAAACTGTATTTCGTATGGAGAGTTGTTTGAATATGGTAACAATCAAAAGTTGTGATAGATCAAGAAGCGTAAAATCTAGACCCTTGGATCAACAAGTTGGCCACTTTCATGAATATTCCAGATTCTACTTTTTTTCACGTGCGCGGTACTTGAGATGTGAAAAACACCGTTTTCCATAACAATGTCAACGACGTCTGGGATTGGCATGAATAGCTGCTGTAATTACCCACACAGGATGTTGTCAGGCGTTGCCATGGTATTCAATCGCCCCGGTGCGCTGCAAACTAATGCAATCTTTGGAGCCTTGCTCCCACGCAAATTCAGTAATCCCGGTGCAACAAATGCCATGCTGAACCGAGGAAATGATTTTTAAAAAAATCAGAGTCTTCGATCAGTTATGATCATAATTTGAACTTATAATTAGAAAATAGAAAATATGCTCAGAAAGTGTGAGTAGTATATCATGTGGCGTGTGTGCTATATTTGCTATTGAAGCAGACCCACGTCCTTAAATGGCCAATCGGTCAAACCGGGCTGATGTTACTATAGGGATCTCTCTGTGGTGCTGAATTGTTGGAGATTGTGTGTAGCTAGACTCACGGTAAGGATCATTCCGCTCCTACATGTACATCCTGCCATGTTCGTGTTTGCACCACTTCATACGCGCATGCTTCTGACAGGATTCCCAGAATTTAGGAGTCTTGGGTGATATCTCAAGCATCTGTATACGTATCGTTAAACACTACCTGTACAATCGTTCAAAAAAATCTTCTTTTTAGTACTTTGTAAGATATTGCACATACAGGCAGGCGTCTGATCTTCCTTGGCCTAGCCTAGTCAATAAATATGTACGGTTATAATTAATGTGGTTATGCTCACAAAACAAGCGGGGTAGCTTAGGATATGGTTCTTTAATGTTTTCTCCAAGACTTGGGTGTCAGCCAGGTTTCTTGAATTTTGCTTTGAAGTGTTGCGGCGGCTTCTGAAACACTTGAAACCTGTTTACTCTGAAGCCCGGAAGGTGGATGAGGGATGTTTGTTGTAGCGGCACTCCGCGGGCGGCCAATGAAACCCGTCTATTCGATAATCCTTGCATCAACCTTGTGAGGGAAGAAAGCACACTCAGGCCTTTGGGGATAACGGGACTGATCCAGGCTGGGCCACTTTCTTCTGTCGTCATTATGCCAGATTTCCGTTGTCATTATTCTAGACTTAATGAAAGCATCGGAGGATCCCTCATGCATATAGCGCATCCTCGGCTTCCTGCCTCTCGGCCAGAGCCAGTTCCTGTGTCTGACCTTTTGACCCCCTGTCATCCTGCCTATCAATCCCCCTGTTTAAAATGAGCATTGTATTGTTCCCTGTGTTGGTGGCGGCGTCAACACGTCTTGTGATTACATGTTGGAAATATTTTTAAAAAATCCCCCTGTTTCTATTTATTTGCCGCAAGGTAGAGATGATGTCATTGGTTTGGTGCATTTTCTCATCGTTTTATCCTCACAGCCATCCCATCTCGCCAACAATAGCCCTCCCCGGTCCGTACATTACTGCTTTCTCCCAGCTTTATTTCGCAAGGAACGAGAGCCGCGGGATGTGACTGCCACTAGAATGTGTCTGTCTCAATGCAGACTTGCCCACACGCCAGACAAATAGTACGCTCGTCTCCTCCTGGCATTTCGAAAAGAGATTGAGGAAATCTTTCAAACCAAAATGTGCGGGAAGCCCACGCAAGGTTATTTGAGTTAATGATGGCTGGTGGCGTAGGGCGCGATTGAATTTCTCGAAACAAAAATCATGAAAAATCAGCGTGAACTGCCGACCTGACGAATGAATAGTCAATTCCCAAATTAAACATGGACATGACCTGTTTTGGAGAATTTTTCGAGAAAACATTCTCTACCTTTATTGAAAGATTACTCAACAGCAGCAAATCTTTTATCCAGAAGTCACTAATTAAAATGCTTGAGTTTCGTAGCAAACTCGTATATTGACTGACATCATACATATATATACCTCATCACAAAAGGAATTAGCTTCTAACGCCATCACATTTGTATTATCACAAGATGCGGTCACAAAATCAGAATTTCACATTACAGAATTGAAAAGTTTGAGCTTCAATTAAAACGCATTTCTCATACGAAGGCACTAAAATATTACACCACATACAACCACACACAAAACCAATAGGAATACTATTATATTATTACAATCAACAAAATAAACAACCAACGTTTAAGGAAAGCGACAGTTTGACCAGGATGCATATGTATCACAAATGACTTGAGTTTTCAATTCGACTGTGCCACGTAATACGACTTGGGATTAGACAAAAATAGACACATTTACACACTTCCAATCGCACATTTGTGTCGCACTGATTAGAATTATATCTCTTTTTTGGCGATTATAAATCACACTCTCGCAGCGCCTCTCTCAAGACACTTGTTAATGCACTATCTATACGGCCTGCATCTTCACTTTCATGATCATTTCCACTTACACGAGGCTGCAACCGCTGAATAATTGGCATATCTCTGAACAATATTTCTCTTTATAAATACGTTGTGAATTTTGTTGTCGTTTAAATCATACATGTAAATCTTGCATCATATTCCAATGATCAAACCAAAGGTGACATAAATTTTCGCGCTGTACGGTCACTGTACAACCATCTTGTAGAGCCTAAGGCTAAACATTTGCGTTTGGGCGTGTGGCTTTTGACGTCACACTGTTACAAGCTGAATTTGAAAATAGAACTGCATCTTCCTAGAAACAAGATACAGTTCCAAGTATAAGGATCACTTTTGGTTGAATAAACCGATCCTTATTTCCCAACAGAACCTGCAATTAAACCAATGATAGTAGGGAAAATTAGTGGTTCGGCCAATATGGAAGTGGCTGCATCTCCAGTCAAATTCTTTATTTTGCATTTCTGCGTTTTATCAGTGTTGAGCTGGGCTATGGGATCGGTCTATTGGGTGACTTCCTGTCACTGGTGACTAATCTATGGATGGAAAGGCGCTTCACTGTGATGTACAAATCTGGCTGAGAGAAAATGCAAGAATATGTATACATTGTGGCATATGATAGAAACTTGCATGCGGCGCACGTACAGCTTCAGTATCACAAAAGAACGACAAATGAGTAATGTCACAGAGAATTTGAAACACAGAACATTCCAGTATCTATTGCGGCTCTGTGGAATACTGTCAAGAAATAAGGTTATTACTCTACTTCTACAGTTTTCAAGCACGTATATGTAACTCTCAACACAAATCTGACGTTGCCGGGGATTGAATTTGTTGAGTATCAAATATACACGGATAACTACAAAAATTACCTGTATCCTTCTATTTGTTTAGATATTCATCCTTATACATTGCTTCGTTTTCTACGATAGTTCCCACTGACACTTGGATTTTGAAGAAGACGAATGCAATGATTAATATTATGACGAAGACACTGGAGGAGAGACACTGAGAAGTGACAGAGGTCCGATGGGAAAAATATTTCTGTTTCGTATGCCAATTGAAAATGAAAGCCGACATTCGTGATTTTTTTGAAACAGTTAAACTGTTCTCCAACTCAAAAATAATTGGACTCACTGGAATTTTCGACTGAGTGACTAAGTCTTCTTCTCCTCCGTAACTCACCCAATCGCTCAGGACATGTGACTTTAAGCACGTGTGACTTTAGTATTGGGTCATTATATAGGGTCAATTGGGACAAATTCGTGACTTTCCTGTCGCTGAAGGGTCACTCCGAGGTGCTTGTTGCTGGTTCTGCGGTCTCGGTCGGCCCCAGAGCTCGCCTCTCGGGCTGCACGTTCTGAACCTGCTCGGTAAGGGGGATCCCCTCCACCGCAGCCGCCTGGGCTGGCCCCATACTGGTCTCACCTGTAGCGATCCGCTCCTGCAGCAGGGAAACGCAAAGAGCTACAATAAGCACATTAAAGAGAAGACAAACAGGAATAAGAAATTTCGGAGAAGTATATTTTTGTGATTGTGTGACGTGCTCTTATCAGGACTATCCTCTATTCCTTGCGAGACATAAGGCATGAATTCTCCCATATATTGACCTCTTTTTCCAGCGGGCTCCCGGTCACATTTTTGGGCCTTCAAGTTCGCCCAATTTCCTGTGTCTGACCCTTTGTCCTGTCATTTTGGCTTGTTGACACCCCCCCTCACGTCCTGTCCAATTTACTCTGTCCTGACAAACATTCACACAAACCCACAGACAAATCTCCCCTCGCCCCCCAAAAATACTTTCGATACGAGAGAGGAATGAGCTAGAGAAAAGGGAAGGAAGGTGTGAGGTATATGTTACACTTTATTAGTTATATTCAGTCATGATCACCTTGAAGCTTTCCTGCATCAGCAGCTCTTTTTCCATGTATCCGTGCAGGAAACTGGGGACGAGGAGCGAGAAAGCCACAGTGAGCCCCCCTGCACACAGGAGTATCAGTCCTGCTAACTTACAGGCGTCCAGTTTGTAGTTCAAGTCTGTCGCTGTGGAGTCCACCACCGGCACCCCGCCTAGATACCCGACCAGCTCCCGACGCTGCGGAACCAGGTACCCCGCCATGAGGGCCACGGCCCCGAACGCCAGCAGGCTGAACCCACACACCATCGCGACCTTCCACCAGATGTAGGTGGACTTCCTCGGCTTGGGGTTGATCAGGTAGCGGAAGTCGTCGGAAAGGTATGGGTTGTCGTACGGGGGGCTGTCCAGGCTGTTCCGCCGGATGCCCGCGCAGTCCTCGTAGAACTGGTGCAGGTAGGAGCGGACCCCGAACTGGGGAGGGCAAGACGAACTAGGCGGAAGGACGTTGTCGTCCATCTCTGAATCCTCGCTCACACTCTCCAGTTTCTGCAAAGAGAGCACACTGTCAGCTGATGATAAATGAAATAGTAATTGGAAATTTTGGACTTCCGTGAAGTCTCAGCTTCCTGAATCCCCACAAATTTTCTGCTGGCTCACAGCCAGATTCTCAGACCTTTGATGATACCGGTGACACAGCAATTCAAAACAAACGGTCAGTCAAAGGTGATCGTTAGTCAGAGTGAACTGTGGTCTTTGTCATAAGTAGGGACGACACATGAGCACACACGACTGACCTTTTCGTTACAGACTTTCTGACGCGTAGGAGAAAGCTCTGGTAATGTGTGTAGGTTTGATACATCCAATGTGTACATGTGAGGTACCGGATAGGAATACTGAACGCTGTGTTAAGATGCACATTATATGCTTCTAAATTCTCGAATATGTGCCTGACACTAAAACATAGGCATTAATAAATTAAAGTGGAGAATATTATATCAAACCATGTCCAAGTCAAACATTTTAATGATTTCATCATGAGTTGTTGAGATCTTGTTCAAGAATGTGTTTTCATTCCTTTAAGTTGATAAACGCTTGATATTTTTAAGTGCTGCAAGGGACAATGTGACTATAGATGCCCTTCGACCCAGGCTTCTTAATACGATGATTAACACGTGACTGATATTACGTCTTGTGTTGATATAATTACAGATACATACATGTGACGCGTTAAGACCACTTTCAACAGGTAACGTGCCCCTACAGCACATGTACGAGTAACACTTCAGGTCACATTATCACTCATTTTAACAGGCATATACATTCAAGTCATTTCTCTATTCAAACAGTACAGGCTTATATACTTGGAAGTAGTATGAGAAAGATGAAAACAAACGTACTATGTTTGAGTGTTCACTTTAAAGAGAAAAACACTAGTATATTCAACTTCTATTCCTCTCTATATCTATAACGGTGAAGAATATTTGCATATCGAATTCCAGTCCAATGTCATATTCAATACACCCTTCTTACTTGTAGTCCCACATATCGCCTTAAATGATCGTTTTCAGACCTTCATCGGTTAGTCTTGACTCTACCAATAAGATAGTCATATTACAAATCTCCACCGCCCGTATTCATGGTGTCTTTGACGTCAATATATGCTTTCATTCTCAGTCTCGCCATGTCTTCCAACTCTAACTAATTTATCAAACAAACCATATGTAATGTTACACTGTCTAGATCTACTGGTGTACTTTTTGCAATATCGTCGAGGGACGATTTTCATCATCTGAAGGTGGGATTAATGTTTCCCTGATTATTTCAACCTGTCTCAGCCACCCAAACAATAAACCACTATGTAATCACTATTCATGGACCTCAGCAAAGAAGGCGTGAGTTAAAGCTATTCAACAGGTCACAGCAAAATAAAATAAAAAATATGGGCCTCGGCTGGAATATCTCTCCTGCTCACCTGGTTGGCAAAGGCGTCACGGAGGCGGGCGCACGAGCTTTTTCTACGGGTCCTGCCGGTAGGAGCATCCGCTGAGCTGAGTTGCCACGTCCGTAAGGCTTCCACCAGCTCGGCGGGCTGCACTGGGCCGGCGTTGTAGGCCGGTCCGTTGGGTCTTAGGGGTGCGTAGGCGTAGGTGGAGTCCATAGTATAGGTTTGCCTTGCCCGCTGTATAGCCAAGGAGCTAAGACGACATTACAGAGTGACGTATATATGCCTCGAGCTGCGATTTTCTGCCGAGAGTTTCCGATGTGTCCCTTTTTTGGCTACGGCATGAAGCAAGCCTGTTTCAGTCGATGTCAGAAATGGCTGGCTGATCTACTACGTATATACGCTGCGGTCGCTTTCCACTAGCTCGCCTTGCTGAATTGTAAAGGCAGCTTTTAGCTATAGACTCGGGAGATATGCAAATACCCTGTGGGGATAAAAGCTTTGGTTGTAACAGAAACGGCGCTAAGAGTACAACGGTGTAGAGAGGGAATTGATTCTAGTGTTACCCTTGAATTTTCTAAAGTGTCACGATTCGACCGCTCATTAACATGCAGCTCGATGCAAGTTATAACAACCTCCGTGTTGCGACCCGCATAATGAAATGCCGTACTACGACCCCTGCAGAAACGTTAACGGATGACGCGTTTGTGGAGATAAGAAATTGAAACCGAATCTTCCCGTGTCACAAACGCCCCCTCACTGCAACCCTAGCTCATCAGCACAAGGTGGTGAGAAATCTCGGCATTTTGTCTGTATATTTATGTTTGACTTTCATCAAGGAAATGGACCGGATCAACATAAAGTTGACCCTTCCCAATCTTAAGACGTGCCGAATAACATTTGACATGGACGTTGTGTAGTATACTCAGGTTGCGCATCAAAATGCACATGCCTTTCTAGTAGTGAACTTTCCGCTCTGTTCCCATTAGTGTTACCAATGATGATCATTATTGCTCGCTGAATTCTTCTTCACTTCGATCTTAAGCTTTAAATCAGTCGTTTACCGAGAAAGCTGTACCAGAATGAAGGAGTTCAACAGCGTGATTCAATATAGATACGAGTATTACACTCCGAAATGGTAGCCTGGATGTAAACCATTTTAGCTTCTGTACGCTCTCTCTGTCACGCCCCTGTCTTGTTAAAGGTTGTCAACCAGGCTACCAAAATGGCGCGCCATGGAAAACCCGTGCGAAACATTGGTGCTCTGGCTTGCTTGACCTTTGACAATTAACGACCAGGTTCCCGTCTAGGTAGTATATAACTACAGCCCCGGTGGAAGATGAGAGAAATAAGTACGCAGGTGCCTGCAGTAGTCTTCCTTGGCACCGAGTGGACTAGCCTTGATTTGGCTTCCGGTCGGTCCGTTTGTTTTTTGAGTCTCCTATTACAATTTAGCGAGGAAGAAATGATCGTCTACTTATTTCCTATAGCCCAAATAATAGCCGGTGTGTTACACCGAAGGTTACTCAGATGCAGATAATGAATAGAATTATTTAATGGCCACAAAGGTGCATCCTAGGGCTATCGGGTTGATAAGTACGGGTTGCGTACAAAATATATGGACTCATTTACCACAGACCCGTCATGTGGAATGATCCTCGGTACGCGGTACAGCGCACTGTAGACTGTGCGGCGAAATCAAATATGTGCTCTTCTCATAACTAAGGAAGTCATTGACCTTTTTCGCCCACCAGTGCTGATTTTGTGACTGTTAACTAAAAGGTCGACACGATTTTTCATTCACGTGTGCAAATCCATCAAGACTGCAGCTAGAATGTCAGTACCATGGACAGACGGTGTCAGGTCCTTTTAATTGATGAAGGAGAATATTAATGATGAAGACGTTAAATGAAAGGGTCTGTGGCTTCTGTAGGGAATGGGTACGCGTACGCGTACGGAAAGAAATGACAATTCCATCTGTTAGTTCAAGCGACCGTCACTCGCCCACGTTCCAATAACAATATCTTCTTCGTTAAGAAAGGCCTGTTTTTTTAGTGAGGAAGGTTTTGCATTTGGGTACTGTATACCCTGGAGATTGGACTTACGTGAAGTAATGGGTCTGAAGAGAAAAGCAAAGACAGCGTATACATGTTTCCATCACTGAGGTGGTTGCTACCATGGGAGCTGGATCCGGGGAGGCATACATGTCTGAGAGAAAGATAAACATGGAAATGTACGCTGTCGGAGTTCCAGCTTTCTTCCTGTTCACCCCAAGGCAGTGATGGATTGTTTGTTACGAGCGCGCGCGCGTGTGTGTTTCTTCCTTGCAATTACTGTTGGTTCCGCCAGCAGTGGCGCTTGCCGAAGTTTTTAAAGAATTTGCCAGAATTGCAGAAGTAATTAAAGAAATTAATCCTGTCACACAAGAGCAGCTTCTTTCACTGACAGTCTATCCATTTCTATTTATTTATTGATTGATTTATTTGAATTGCAAAAATGGCAATACGGTGGCATCCCTGGCAGCATAGCCGATGTCGGGCCCCACACACTATGACATAGATATATACAGAAACATTATACACATCATAGTATAGTAAGTTAGAAACGGTTAGTTATCCATTTCTACTATTATGCGAGGAATCTGTTGATCCATCGCCTGACTCAATCGCTACTGGCAAAAGAAAGATAGCAGGATATTAAGTGGTCTTGTTTAGGTTTTCGTTCCTGTGTTGCCTCCCGACTACACTGCAGCAGCTTACAGTCCATTGCATCCACGCTACGCACAGATGGAAAACCAACAATATGGCCATGTATGTGAGCAGCTGCTTTGCCTTGCGACAATTGAACCTGGTATTATGGTTACTGAAACCATAGGACGCTCTGACATTTACAGTACTCAAGAACAGGAGCAGCAGAAAAATCCTGATTAAGCCGGGGGATTATTCGCCCACATTAACTGTAACCTCGTAGACCCTGTTTGAGTATGGTACTACTGGACGCATCCCTGGGAAGCATCCGTAGTCCTCGGCCCTCAAGATGAGGATTAGAGAAAGTGAATGTGAACGGACATGTAACGGCAAACATTTCTTCTTGTGTGGTAATTATAAAGGAACATTAATAATACGCGTTTTGAACTCATCATTGACATCAAATTGCGACTTAAGCTTCCGAACACCTGTGTCCTAGCATTGTCATGGCATACTCAGATATTCAGAAAATCCATCAACTCAAGTCAAGAATTTCTCGGGTTACTAGGGTGATGCTGACAGTATACACACATACACGCGTACGCGCACCCGAAAACCGTGGACATTCTTCGCGAAGGTGCGGCGAACTCTCAACAGACAAACTCTCTTGGCGTGCTTATCTCTCTATTTGGCCGATTTCTACTCTTTCCAGCCGCCTCCCAAGCCTGGTACTAGAGGCCATCGGAATCACCCATAGTACATGTATAAAGCAGCCGCTAGAGGGCGCTGGATGCATTACCCAGAGGTCATCCCGCGGAATAGTCTACTACGGGTACGGTATGGGGTGATTCTCTTCTTAATTACTTAATTAATGGCTGCAAATACAGGTACAATATGACGTGGTTAGATACAACATTAGTTTTATTATATGTAAGAAGGCTACGGGGTACAGAAATGCTTATTTGTAACATCATAACATCATTCACATTGATTTCATAATACATATCACTAACGAAAATGGACTATTCTGACAACCTTTAACCTAAAGGCGGTTAGTTTTGAAAAGGTGTTGCGACTGATTTTGTGACAGTGGTTTGTTTTCCTGGCATCTAAACGTGTACGTGGTGGAAAGAAATTATGTCGGATAAGAAGAAAGTTCAGACAGCTATGCCCCGCCCGGCTAGAGGTATTCCTCGGCCCACCAGAGGCCTTCCCCGGCCCACAACTCAGACTGGCGCCGGCCGTGGTACAGGAGTGAAAATCGCCTTCGGTCGACGGATACTGAGCAGTAAGACAAAACCACGACAAGGTACGCCTAGTCCTAGTCGCCTACTATCGATGAATGTTTTTGATTGATTTGATCTGTGTTCTATTTCTAATGGCTTGACTCGAACAGAGTAACACACGGGACCCATGGCCATTTGTCAACTAGCCGTGGCCATGCGACTCGGGAAGCCTTCTGTATCTTCTGTATCATATGGCTTCCTGAGTCGCCACGGCTATATAAAAGCCTCAACCGTTTCAGCTATTAATTGCTTGCGGAAAAAATAGCGAAGTTACAAGTACACACTAAAACTATGTACAGGTAGGGTAAGTTACTGATAAAGATTTCAAACTTGGCATATATCATAATTTGTACACAGTATCACCAGGTTAAAATTTTAAGTAGTACAATCAACATTTAACAGTTACTGTAGTAAAATTAACATCATGTTTCAGTGACAGGGTTATAATGCTGATATTCTTCTGTTATCCATTACTATCATTAACTATAAAAAATTCATTCTCCTGCAACTGTTGTCCCCAACCTGTCAGATGGAGAAGAAACTGAAGCTGGAACTGATACAAGTACTAAAGACCTGGCTACACCCAGGCCCTCACAGATCCAGAAACCTGCAGGTTCCCACAAAACATGTATTTTTGCTGCTGTCTTTTTCTCCTGAACTAAAATACAAAAATCAAGAAGCACAAAATCAACGCACAAATCATTAAGAAAATAATAAAGTACAAAGTACCAGCTTAATGCATTCAAAATCTATACTTGTATGTGTACACTGTACTTGTAAGTCACCAAGAGCAGTGAAAATGTAGATGTATTGCTGACACCACTAACTAACTATAAGTGAATTCATGGATCCAACTGCACATGCATCGTGCATGAGTAAAGGCAACTGTAGTAAAACCTAACTTGTAAGTTGTAGATTCTTGTCTGAAAAAAAAAACATATACATTATCAGACAGTCACATGCACACTTGGAACCATGAACCAGCTTATTTTGTAACACTGACACCATCTACTACATGTATTAGTAACTGTAAATCTTAAAATTTTCACTATGGACATAGTATCATGTTTTATTTTCATGGCATCACACATGTGTCTCTGTACTAGTATTGTACTCAACCCAAAAACACACCACAAAAGTAAATGAATTTACAGTAATTGCCTTCCTTATCTCCCCAGTGGCGATGACTGTAACCAAGGACAAGACAGTGAAGCGTCTCCGCAGTAGTGGCAGCTCCTCTAAAGAGGATTCTCCTGCAGCAGTTCATGGGGCCAAAAAGGCGAACATAGAGGAGGACAAACTGACTGGAACAATCACCAAGAACAGCTACAAACTGAGATCAAAAACTAAAAACCAGCACTTGGTAAGTTGTATGGGATCTGTTCAAGTTGGTTTCATCAGACGGAGTTCAGAACTTGATTGTTTTGCACATAACCTGTAAACTACCTTAGCATTTATTTATTTGTAACACACCAGTTTTGTACAGTACGTACAAGCTTGTTAGGACCAGACTATAATGTTTGACCCACTCACACTGGGAAGGACCCCTACTCTTTTCAAGTATGTGACTGATCACAAGTAGGGCATACAAATTACAAAACTTAATGTAGCATAGGCTGGATAAAAGAATTACAAAATCAATTTATATGTGTGACTGTGAGATATACTTTATTAGTATCAGACATAAGTCTCCTTCTACCGGATGTGTCTGTCTCCACAGAATGGGATCTGCACTACAAACTTCAACCCAAAGGCAACCTTGACCTTCACTGAGTTTGGTGGCCTTACAGGCAAGAAAAGGTAACCTTTCTGCAGTAGTGCAGTAGCATCTTGGTACTCACGATAATATAACTAATATATTATATAAGCCAGGACTGAGGTACGTGACAAACAGTTCTTCCATTTTCAGAGGGAGGCCATGCATGCAGCGTTGCTAAATGTTCCTACAGTACTAGTATTGTTGGACTAAACTTTTTTTAAAGAAATTAAACATTAGCGCAGATTCGAGATCTATAATTTGACTTTGTTTCTTCATTTGGACAATTTCTGTTACTTTGAAACTTAAGCCATCATTAAGCTTAATTATAATCTACCAGAATTTGAAAAAGAAGCCCTTAAAAAAATTTAAAAAAAGACTTAAATTGTGTACATGACTAAATAGATCCTTGATTCCATTGTGATTGTCAGGGCTTACAGGTCATTCCCTCCATCCTTTTCTCACATGTCAGCATCCCTAAGCAGACAGCAGGGTTAGAAAAGGAAAATGTTGTTCTCAGAGAGCAGCTGAAAGCTACCAAGGAGGAGCTGAGGGTGGCCAGGGTGGAGTTGGAGGCAGCCAAAGTAAGTGAACAGACATTTCCACTGGTCTTCAATTTTTTTATATATACATGTTGTACATGTACATGTGTAAGTTTATGTGTATTATCATACTTTAATGATGTCAAGCTTTATTATGTTTACCTATGCAGAAGGAAAGCATATTGTTTTTGCTCTGTTTCTTCTTCCTCTTCTTCTCCAAACAAATAAGGTCAATGACCTGAAGCAGATGTCTGTCACCATGGTAACTAGTGTTGGGTTACATCATGTTGCAGTTTTATAAATTATTGCAGGAGGGACTTATACTCCTTTCACCATATACACGAATGTGTTTGAGTAAGAAGTGAGTAATTTTAGAATTGAATAAGAAACAGAGCAGACCATATGCGAAGGTAAACATTATGCATTTGCTTTGCAAATGTTACCTGTCTAGTCATGTTGTATTTGACTATATTGAAATCTTGTAAGTGATATCATAAGTAAATCAGCCTCTGTCACCCTACATATTAAGTTTGATTTTGATGTGAATCAAGACTTTCATTGAAGCTTTGTTGTGTTGTACTGTGTGCACTAACAATGGATAGTAAGTTTCTTTCAAGCTGTCTCTAGTGTTCGGACATACCACTAGACCTAACTTGGTACTCTTACAGATCTACAGTTACTACTGTTGAATCTGGATATATTGCTACTGTAGCACATTATGTTGATTTTCTACCTATGTCTTCCATTCCCAGGCAAGTCATGAGAAAGCCATAGATGCTGGAAAGTTAGAAGGTAAGTGAATAAAGATTGTATGTTATATTGTGTATGTTTAATCTTTGTATTGTTTGGCGCCCAAAATCAGCTACTAGTATGCTGCCTGGGTGGCCAGTGTATTGTATAGTTACAATCAAATAAAAAATTAAAAAAGGAAACATTAAAAATTATAACACAGATATATCTGACAAAGCATTCTTCATTGTGAATTGACAGTTGAGACTCAAACAGATCTACATGTACTACAACCCTGACATGGGTGAAAGAGAGGTCTGTTTTCAAGAGTCTAGAAATATTTAGTGATGGCTCTGAACTAAACTTGAATGTTACCATTTATTTCAGCAGAAAACCAGCAGTTGAAAAGGAGTCTGTAAGTCATTTTTCAAGCCCTCCCCCTAAATCCACTAGTGCTACATGTATATAGTATGAGGAACAGATTCAATTTGATAACGTCCAAGATTGTAGGCATTTCTTTATCGATATTCTAAAGATTTTTGAGTTTTTCCTTAATTTGTATTGGCAGTATTCTAAGTTGCCTCTATGTACAATCCAAAATGACATTTATATGACATTGTTTCAACTAACTGTCTTTAACAGGGAAATGTGTGAGAAGAAACTCATCTCATTGGACATTAACCCAGGTAAATATAAATACAGTGGCAGTGTTATTGGGACTGTTTTGTATATTCAATACTCTACATTTCAGAAACTTTCCTGATGGTTTTACAGTATTGTTTAGGAACACCAACTATCATCTAGACATGGTACTGCACCTCATTTCGTTGTCAGTTCAACTGTTACTACCTGGCAGATTTGCATTCTAAAACATTAGGAAACTAAAATTTTAAAAAGTACAGCATATGTGAATAAAAGTCACATTTATAAGAACATGAGAGTTGTGTGCCTATGACTTCTGCAACTTTCATAGTCTGATTTTTTTCCACCCTACAGTATCCTTGAACACTTGGTTTGACTTGAAAGAAGCAAGGGACAAGCAACGGAGGGATACAACAGTAAGTTGTAGCATAATCCTGATGAAATCTGCTGCTCAGCACTTTGTACAATCATTTAATATAATGTAGGATGTCAGCCATTTTAACTTTTGTGCACTCTCTTAGTCACTTCATCCTGCAGAAAAGTTTGGGCCCTTACATTTTCCATCTGCCTGTCATTTGAATATATCCCGAATTTGAACAGGAGTGCTGATTTGTCAACCTGAGTGCTGGTATGGGGTCGTCCACTTACCAGAGGCCCCACCCAGTAAACAACAGGACCAGCCTTTTTGGCAGGGAAGCAATGAAGAGAGCTTTGATACTAAAGCTAAAAAAGGCTAAAAGCTAAGTAAAATGGCATCCAGACTAGTGATGATTGCTGTCTGTTCAGACAGAACGGTGGACATTTCCACTAATATCTGCACCGCACACAGCTCACTTCACTCACTGTTTATTGTTACTGATATTTGCAGGCTCGGGCCTGGGCTATGCTAGAGAAGTGGAAGCATGATAATGAGCAGATGTTGGAAACAAACAAGACGTTACTGGTAAGTCTGGACTGTAATGTATCAAAGTAGCATGTATCAACCACCATGTCCATGATTGCATGAAAAGCAAGATTTTTTGGGAATATTTTCAATTTTATATTATATTACTAGTAGCACCTTTGAGGTCATATTAAGTGAACCAAACCAAATGCAACTACATCACCCCTCTAACACCCCTCTTCCACCAGTCAGGTCCGTAGAAGCTTGGGGGCCAATACGTCTAAGTCAGGAGAATTGGGGACATCCTCATCCTGTTCATTTATCAAAATTTCTGCATTTCTGAAAACATGGACCAATTACCATAGTGTTGGAGGCTGTAATGACTGGTCTCCATATATAGTAAGCAAATCCTGAGTTCCAATTGGATTGATTAAGAACACTGACATCCTATTGGTAGCTCTTTGAATGGTTCTCTCAAGTTAGAGGTGTATGGCCAAAAGCTGTCAGGGACAAGGCCCGATTGGCCCATTCTAAACTGAACCCAACTCTTTTTACTGCAGGAGCTGAAAGAAAACTTGCAGAAGATGGGCTAGACCAGGCCTGAAGACAGGACAGAACAGAGGGACAGAAAAGCTTAAAGAACAGAATTATTAACAAAACTATCAATAGACACAACACATTTTGCTTGAAGTGCAGGCATATTTAATTCCCATTCACACAGAGCATTCCCATAATAAAATGGACAATGAGCTAGAATTCTATGTTGTGATGTTCTAGGTATCAAATATAATGTACATGTGATAGAATGGGAGTGGTAATTGTTCCAAAAATTTAATTTGTACACATTGTTTCACAGTTATTATAAAAATGTATCAATCACTTAGTGTGACGTCTACATGTGAGGCTGCATAGCATGGCCAAACATATATTTGGAAGTAACCTGAGGCCTCTCAAGTGTATAAAAACCTATCAGATTTCTAAAATGTCACCATATTACATAGATCCAAATCAGCCACACTGCAAAGTCTTTACTCATTCCTTGTTTCACACCACATTTAAGTTGTCCAGTGGGTACTTATGTACATACATTGTGGTTACAGCATAGACTACAGTACATGTACATGTATCTCACAATACAAAGTGATCGCATATATAAAAGACATTGTCATGGAGACTTTGATGACAATGATTAAATAAGTATATAACACTCAGATCTCACAGTACAGATGCAGTATTTGGCCCTCAAGAATTTACTTGACTTGCAACAGAAAAATATTGTTTACTTAGACATAAAATGGAGTGGAGACAGCTGCAAAAGCAGGATTTTGGTCATTTAAAAAAAAAATGCAACCAGGCATTTTGTTATCTTTTTTCTTGTTTTGCCAATATTGAGAATATCTTTCCAGAGAGACCTCTAGCAGTCTAATTTAGTACTACAGCTAGTGAGAAATTCATGCCATGTCTAGCTGTTTGCTCTTGATGGGTGAGAGGGCACGGTTAGTTGTGCGGTTGAAGGAATCGCCTGTCTTGATGGAGTCGGGGAGGTTGGTGGTCAGTTTCTGGCGCACGTCCATGCAACGGTTGTCCAGTGTGAGGGAGTTGGTCTTACAGGCGAGATCCTCCTCGATGCGGTACAGGTTACGATACAGACCGTCGCGGGCTTTGCTGGAAAAAGATGAGATAAAACATTCAGTTATGTTATCCACAAGTCCCATTGTCATATCTTTGTTTTCGGTGATGACCACTCCAAATACATTTACAAATGTACTTTCACTTTGTGATGTGGTGGAAAACTTACTGTGCTGTGGCCAGTTTCTCCTTCAATGCGGCGATGGACCCTTCAATCTGCTGCACCTCGTCCGTCAGCCCATACTGCGGCTGATCCCGGCAGAGCTCCACGTTTGGCCGGTAGGTGCGGGTCTCCAGGCGGGTGTGGGCTAGTTTCAGGGGGTTGCGCTTGGCACGGATGGCCTCCTCTAGTGCACGGATGTCTGCCTCCATCTCAGCTATCTCCTCCTTTGTCTGAGAGGAATGATGATGGTTTGGAATAAGTTTCTAGGCTTACAAACTATGAGCAATACATCTGAGATTTCAGACTTCCAGGATGTATTATGGGTTTTGTGACCTTCAAGTTTACACTAAATTACAGGCGTCTGGGAAGTGTTTGGGGGAACTATGGGAGGATTGTGTGCTTTAACTTAATTTGGATTTCAATTGTAAATTTTACTCGTAAGCTTAAACATGAATTTCTACCTCACTTATACTTACATTCTTCTGCTGCCATTCCAGCTCCTTCTTGGCCTGGTCCGTCTCGTGAATCCTCTTGCGGAAGGCAAACTCTGAGGCGTTACGCTGGGCCTCCAGGTCATTAGCAGTCTGCAGGAAGAAGACAAGATATTGTTATGTCTAATGCCGTCATGGTCTACCAGTTGCCTATCAGATATGCTTGGTCTAAGAACAGCTGATAGATAAAAGCAATCTCCTTTTGTGTTTACCTGTTCAAGTGTGGCCTGCATGGCCTCCCTGAGCCTGTTGGAAGCCCTCATCTCAGCCTCTGCACGGTCCTTATTGTACTGGCTAAACTTGTCCCATTCTTGGGGTGTGGTGCTCCTGAGATAAGATAAAACAAAGCAAAGCAATGGTAAGAGATGATGCAAAGAAACTGCAACACATTTTGAAAGTGTGGTCTGCCAAAATTTGGATAAACATTTTGGGTTTTCATGACATTCAAGTTCACCCCATTTCCCGTGTCTGTCCTTTGACCTGTCATTCTGCCTGTCAGTCTTCCCCCCACCCACGTGCTCTTAACCAACTTTGTCTGGACAGACACACAAACCAACAGCTCAGCCTCCCACAACAATATTTCCATACCCAGAAGTAAAGATTTACAAAGACTAAAGGCTACCTACCCTTTTGGCACTCTGGTGGGGTTAGGTTTGAAGGAGATCCCTGGTGAGTCATTGGTGAGATGGTAGACCTCCTGGTCAATCCCTAGAGCCTCTGCCTTGTCCCTTAGGTCTGCATGGAGCTGCTGACGAGCTTCCTGCAGGAGACTGGAGGAAAAGTCAAACTTGTGGAGGAATCTGCTGGCGATAAATCAAAAGGGAACCAAATCCCTGCTGCCTTAATTTCAGACCCCATACAAATTTAGTGTCTCACAGCTACCTTAACATGCTGAAGGTTAAACAAAGTCCAAAATGATGCAAAGCTTACCATATTTGTTCAAAGGCCTCATCGATCTTCTGTTTTAGTGCCTTCTTGATTCCTTCAATCACTTCCACTTCCTGTTGGAAAGAAATGAATTATTACAATATTAATGGAGAGAGCATTAACCATAAACTTCCTTTTCCCTCCTAACCCAAAATAACACCACTCCAAAAGTAAATGCATTTTGTGGCTAACATTAATAGCAAAACCTTACACTACTCTGCTCGGTATGAGAGTGTGCAGACCCACCTTGTGAAGTTCTGCCTCAACATTGTCCCTGACGACATCAATGTCTCGTCTCCCCTCCCTCAGGGTCAGGTTCTCAATTGCAACGTCGAGGGGCAGCGCCTTGGCCTGGAGAGCGTGCTCCGTCTCCAGCTTCATCCTCTCCAGGGCGTCGATCTCTGCGTCACAGTCTTTAAGGGTCTTCTCCAAGGTCTGCTTCCATTGGTCAATGTCGCGGCACCTGTCGGACAGACGCGTGTTGTTGTCGTACTGGTCCCACCTGGTCTGGTTGTCCGTCTCGTTGCGAAGGTTGCGGGCCTCCTGCCGGATCTGGTGCGAGGCGTCGCGTTGTCTCTCGGCATTTGTGGAGATGGTGAAGTTGGAAGTGAACCAATCAGGAGGGTTGTACCGTGTCACTGGCTTCTGACTCAGGGTAGCCATGGCTTCAGAATTCTTTTTTTGAATAGCAGCCTGCAGAAGAAATCAGTGATGTTTAGTATGAGGAAAACTACAGCATAACCTAACACTCACTCAAGTACAATAGAGGAACAACAAAATAAATATTCCATCAAATTCTCAAATGATTTCCATTATTCAACAGATTAAGTATCATTTTGTCCTTCCTTATAGGTAAACTGCTGGATGCCTGTAATATTCTCTACATTAATGTAATGTAATGTAATTGGGTTATCCAGGCAGACAAGGCAAAACATTTAGCACTTGGTTATGTGTTTCCAAAGCAGATCAGTGGCAAACAGAAAACAAACTAGCAAATTGTTTCCCAACGTACAAAGTAAGCTTTGTTATCCTGGACTGCTTCTCAACTTTCACCTGGCTTGGTCACTGGGACGGGACAAAGGTACATGTATGCTTGAAACACCAACAGGGCCTTTGCTTTGCTTCTCGACACATTATATCCCAAACACTCAGGGCATCCCTGAGTTGGTCATATATACTAGTAGCAACTACGTGCCCAGCATGTACCCAAGGAAATTCTGACAGGTTTCCTTTTTCATGTCGTCTTTTTATAGTCTAGAAACAAAGACTAGGATAGGGTTAATGAAGTGATGAGACGACTAGGCAAATAGACAGGGTGCAGTGATCCCTGGTGACCTGTAAGCTTGTAGCCGGGACCCTTGTCTCCAATGTTTACCAAATAAAACAGCTGTAAACGGAGTACCCGTCTCCAAAGTGTCCTTTAAGGCCAGAACGAAAAGCATCAAATGTTCGGCAAAGTCTCAACACCTGTTTGCACAGTAGGGTTGTGAATCCAATGTTCGAGCTCTGTAAGTTTTGAGAGGATGTTATGTCTGCCCGGTCGATCGTCTGGGTAACAAATAAAACAAACCATTGGAAATTGTCTAATGTTACCATAACACTACACTGTGCTTAGCCTTGGCAATGAAATAGCATACAGAAAGCCACCCTTGTTGTCTCTTGGTGTGTAAGATAATTGTGGCTTAAAACGAGGAAATATGGAATGTTGGAAACTATAAGGGTGTGGTAGAAATGCTTGGTTATGTTTTCGCCTTCCGGTGGCATTACGTGGCAACCCCGGTCGTCTCGTGATCGTGGTTTGTAGAACTCCACTGTATATACTACAAAACTTCACATCGTTAAATCTCCGCTACCAGGAAGGTACATTTTGTAATGACCTCGAAGGAAAGGCACGAAATGATTTACGTGTTGGGTGAAATATCAACGAAGAGTTTTAGGTACCAACTAGCAACTAATCAGGGCAGACCAACAGCAATCTCACAGTGTGGTGGAACCTTGCAAAAAAAAAGGTATGGTGCCGGCTACACGCCCCCAGGAAAAGAACCACCAGCAAGGTACTGGATCCTCTCTGTTGGCAATTTTTTGCTGTACCATAAAAGAAGTAAGCTATCAAGAGTCTCTCTATCCCAGATAATATTGGAACCCACCTGGTAAAGCGGTCCTCTGCCGGTTTCAATGAGCGCAGAACTGTTTGTGTGCTCGCAGAGCCGAAACAAGGTCAGTTAGCGTCTCCGTTACTAAGGAATACAGGACGGGATTCCTATTCTTCTAGAACGCGCACTGTGATTGGCTTACAAGAATAGCCCCACCAATCACAATCGCTGTTTTATATTCTGCATGGATACCAGTTGCTATGGGGATGGAAACAAGAGATGACAGTCCCATCATGCATCAAATCTCGCTAAGGCGAAATCTCTCGAGATTCTTGTGAAGGACGAGACTAGCAACAAAGATGGCCAACCCCGGAAGAAGTTTTGTCACATTGTGTTTGTTTCTCGTTTGTTGTCTGTGGTGTTCGTCGTTGACAAGAGGACAGAAAGAAAATAGACTGGTCAGTTAGGGTATAATTATATTGATCTGAGTATTTGTGTCTCAAAAATGTAACGTTAACGTTTTTTTTTTTAGAAAGATCAATCCTTGATAGAGAAATTAACGTTAAGTAATCTCCAAAACTAAGCTAAGTAAGTGATTTCATAGATTAAATCATTAAGCATGGATATTCGGTTTGCATGGGGTACTATTGTATCAAACCATAACCTACTTATATAATAATAAAACTTATATCATTTTTACAAAACACAGATCCAAAGTTGCACAAGGGGAATTGTGAAAAAATTTGGCTGATTATGTAACCGGTATTCATTGATAAATAATCAATGGAAAATAACCCTCCTCTAATAAGTCTACCTTTAATCTGTGTAGCAGATGAACTGTGTTCCTTGATGAAGTGAGATGTATACTTTTACAGCAGTCCATCTGCCAGCTGAGTTCTTGTGCTAGCCCCTTGGCAGATGATGGTGTGGTGTACAGTATGTGTCAGGACAGACCTGGGCTACAGGTGTGGGGAAGGTGCTGTGTCAACATAACGGACAACACACACAATTTCACCATTGGGTAAGAACTTTGACTTCAACTTTAACTGCAAGATGCCACTGCTCTGTGTGCATTTTCTTGCACTAGTGCAGTAGTGGCATATGTTCTTATAAAATCATAATGGTAGCAAGAAATAATGTGACCATGAACAAGCTTGAGAAGAGGGGAAGAGCAACACAGAGGAGTACCATTGCAGATTCTGTGGCAGAGCCTGCAGGGCCAGAATCAGCTGTACCAGCCACGAGAGGCACTGCACAGCCAGACCTGCAGAGAGCGACTGACTGACACTGTCGACCATCTGGCAAGACGACAAGGGCCCAAGAGAACAAGCTTATTTGGAAATAAGCTACAGAATATCAACTATACTAGTACTTCAATCTGTCATGTTGTAACTAATCATCACTTTTCCTTATACATATGTGTAGGTTGGACCTTAGTGGATGCAATATCAAAGATGAATTCTTCAAGGAGTCCCCACTTCTCCCACTAACACGTCTTCAAAAGCTGTGAGTGTAGTTCCTTGTATGAAATGGTTCCATGAGGATGATTTTTTTTACTTACGGAAGTATTGTTCTTGGTGTCTGAGCTCTGAGTTTGTACAATTATAAACTTTGTCTAGTATTTCCAATTCTGAATAAGCCTATAATTTTGTTTTAAGAAGAAAATCAATGTTACATCAACTTATATCCATGACAAAGACTTTCTTTGTGACTTCAGGGTGCTTGACAACAACCCTGGTATTACTGTTCTATCCCGTGAAGATGTTGCTGGTCTGACAGATCTTAATTACATGTAAGTATGCATTTGAATTGAGATTAAGCCACGTTTGCAGTGTAAATCTTAGACTTTTGCAGTAGTTTAAAAATTTTTGCAATGACCTCTCCCTACAAATACATGTATGCCTACCTTGTATGACTGCTATGCTACAGAATTGTTTCAAATGTGAATTTAAAACACTTTTTCATACCTAACAGGAGATAACTCCATACATGATGTTACTGAGTCTGATGAAGATGCATGCCATGTTCCACTGTCATCCATGTGAATCAGCCTTTTATGTTATTGATCGTCTTTATAATCTTTGTACCTTTTCAAGTCTGTATAATTGTTCCTTTTCATTCTGTAGCATTCTTATTTATTAACTTTTTATATGACAAAAGTCTGTTACCTTTCTTCTTGATTACAATCCAAATGGAATATTACTGAGGGTTCTTCTTTCATGGCAAGACATGTCTACTTGCATTTTCCTTTTTGTAACATTTGTTTTCCAATATACTTGTAGATCTGTGCCAACCCATTCCAACTGTTCCTGCCCGGGAGGTGAGGAGGCCTGGAGACAACACATCAGAACAGTCAACACAACTGTCTGTACGGACCAGACTCCAACCTGTACAATATATGATGGTAACATCCCTGCTGAACACTCTGAACATTTATCATTTTAAGTGATCAGGAGTTCCTGTCTGTTGTCGCTTACCCGAACTTGCAACGTACTGGAAAGAGTCGTAGTCCTTAGATGTTAAGCTGTGGTCCACTGTTCATTGGGAATATTAGTATATTCCGGTTATATTTTGTATTATTTAAATGTAAACCAAACATCCCTGGCTGAATAAATGTGTAAATACTGCACAGTATCTTTGTGACAACCAGTGGAAGAGCAGATTAACTGTTTATTTAGGCTAACCTGGTTCAAGATCACTTTTACTAACAAGCAGTTTGGTTTGTTGTCCAGGTGCCTGCCCTGTAACAACTTCTCATTGTGTGGAGGATGGACCAGGTCAGTCTATTAAAAAAAATGAAATTGGCGATAATTTCTTAATGTACTGTCCTACTATCATCACAATGTACACATACTGAAGAGGGTCCATCAAGTTTCAAATCTTAAAGATGGTGGTCATAGACATCTTGTCACACGTTTACGGTTCAGTAGAGTACCTTTTGGTTATACACATGTAGTTGCCAATGGACCAAAGAAGCTGTAAGGCTGTCATTGTGGTCGGATTACATATACGAAGTCAAATTTGTTCGAGTGACCACCTGGGCAATGTGACTTCTTTTGGTGGTCCCTCTGATGACTTTTCCCATTGACACAGGCATTGTCCTGTCTAGTGACCAACTGTCCACATAGACCTGACTTTATCAGTCCCGAGTGGTCTTCTTGGGTCTGTAGTTTTAACTGCACGTCTACTTACATGTGTATTGCAACCTTTGATCTCATAACCTTTTTTTCCTTTAGGTTTATTCCTCTGCCTCTGTAATGAAGGATATCATGGATACAAATGTCTAAGACAGGTACATGTACATATTATTTGTCTGCATACATGTAGCTTGATGAAGTAGCCCCAAACCTCAATCTTTTAAATGTAAAGAAATCTTTTACAGCTGTACTACTATGTAAGGCCTTCAAATTTTCAGCCTATAACTAAGTCAGAAATGGGATTGATGTATTTTACATGTTTCTCATTTCCCTTCAGGGCACGTTTCCCATGTCAGCGTTCCTGGCTGGTCTAGGGAGCAGCACTGTCATAGTGGCGGCAATTCTGTGGGTGCTACAGAGACGACATGTGAAGACAGCATGATATTCGAAATCAAAGTAACCTAAAAAAAGTGTTAGTGATCTGCTGTTAGTAAAATATGCCAAAGATCTTTTGCATAAAATTTTGTATTAGTGAAATTTCTTGTGGCTAGGCTAACTTGCATTAATATTATACTACAATGTACTATTAGCTACGTGTGATGTCCCTTTCACGGTGAATAAAAGTAATGATGTCCCTTTCACTGTGAATAAAAGTAAAGACTTCTAAGACTGATAATCTGTCATCTTTTGTCATACATTGACCCGCTAAATCTGATCTTGATAAAGAGACACCTTTCAAAGTATTCAAGAACTACATAGTAATAAACACCACTTGCACTACCATCTTGATAAGCTGGGTGGCTCTTCTCCCTCACCACTCTTAATTGGCACCAGAAAATAACCGAACTATTTACTTTCATACTGTGAAGAGTACCATCTTTTATCCAACTGTCTAAAAAGATGTATGTCTGTTAACTTTCCTCCTGCCCTTAAATGTACACTTTGATTCTGTTAGCTCATCACATCTTGTCAAAAACCTTTTAAACTTGGATCACTGAGGCTGAGCCTGTAACATGTACATTCATGTACATGTAGGTACTCCCTGGCAATTCATCACCAATAAATACACAATCCAGTGAGGTATTTTTGATCTTTTATTTGCACTCATCATCCATTAAGCACATCCCTGTATCCTGATGTTTCATGTTGGCCTATGTCAGGATTAGATGGTATGTCCTGATGGCTGTGTGCTTGTGTGATGGAGTGACGTGGGAGCAGTACAGGCCCCTCAGTGCTTGGACTTGAAGTACTCGTTCATCACGTCCAAGGCCTGAGTCTCCTTGCCGTAGTCCTGTACAGAACACAAGAAAAAGCACATTGGTAAGTGACGTACATGTGCATGATATACATGTATGGTTGGTGCAGGACTAGGTTATAAGTTCATCAGGAAGTATGCAATCCTCAGCCTCCTGAATTTCTCCATGTTGACCTCTAATTCCTGCTGCCTCATATCATTCTGCCTGTCAATCTCCCCCCCCCCCATGTGCTGTCAACCTTCTCTGGTCAAAAAGATGTACAAACCCACAGCATAGGAGATTTTGCCGTGGTTTGCTGGTATATGGGAGTAGGTTAGGGTGTGGTCTGTAGTCAAATTTGATTCTATTTGTATCAAAAGGTAGGCATGGCTTAAGTCTGCTCCCAAACTTCAGCCAACCTTGGTTGGCTACTGTCAGGGGAGGTCCCGAATGTGTGATGGGCTCAACTAGATGGGCTCATTTCAGTCCAAACTCTTAATCTCAGTAAGGCCTGTAAAGATATTGCTGAAACCAGTAAGATGAATAAATCAAGAGCAGTAAATATTGGATAGTTGCCACGATGAAAAACTCAAAAGTTCCCACTAATTTTTTCTGAGCCTGCACAGTAAACAGTATTGACACCATACCAAAGACTCCGTGCAGTGGTACATGTAACCATTAACTACCGTAAGGCAGACTTCTCTGCATTTCAAACCCTGCAACACTACCAGAAATCTTTAAGTCAGTGTAAGAGAAAGAAGGGCATCTCGGGCTGCAGGTCACGATCTTGTGATTTCCCTGCTCTTTTGATGTGAACCAGACCTGACAGGTTAATCCTCTTCCGCTCCCAGCCCAGGTATCTGTACTAATTATCTTTGGAGTAAATTGAAAACTTGCTATGCCAGCTGCATATACACAGCTCTATCCAGACCTAGGAAATTACCTGCAAAGATGGGGATGGGAGTAGCATAAGCTCAAATTTAAGCTGACTTCTGCCGTGCAAAATTACTAAGTAAACATTCTTACAGTAAAGAACACTAAAAAAAATGCATGTATTAGATAAGGTATGCCTCAACCAAATGGAAATAGCTGCTAATAACTTGGGAGGGCATCAGCTCTTTGAGTACAGATCAGACGTGATATACACTGGCCCTGTAGGTCTCTGCTCTTTGAGGAGGAAATCAGTACCTCACTTTTTCCTGTGCATTTTAGGTATGCATTAAGTTGTTGGCTCAGCTTACAGCATTGGCCTCTGGCCTAATACGATTTAAAACTCTATGGGGAATAGATGTGTTTTTCTAAGGTACAGAGGAGCAAGAGATGGGTGAGAAGGACAACTTGCTATTCAGGGATGGTGAACACTGGACTATGCAATTGTATTCATGGGAGCCTCGATTTAGTGCAGCTGAATAAACAGGGATATCCTGTGTCGCTGTCACATTTCTTGCAAATTATCACTATAACTTAAGAAACTCATGACTGTCTTCGGAGTCCATGTTATTTCTTTGATCAAATATATTCTGTATCTGTATGGCCATAATAACTGCCCTTTGGCGCAACCCACCAGCTTATTTTGATTCATGGTAAATGCAAACAGAGTAAAGCCTGAGATAAACCACTCAGTGCAGACAGTCAAATAAAACATCTCAATACTGCTCTCATGCACAGCGACTTTAAAACAAATGCTCACAAAGTTTAAAAGATGGAATTCCCAAGGTTCTTGAGGCCAAGTGCATCATTTCCCATATGGACAATTTTTTCCACCTGGGCGGCCACGCACGCCTCATTCCTCCATTACCCTAAGTTGGCCATCCCGCTACCTAGAGTCATTCCACACGACCCCACTCAGAAAGTGGTGGTGCTTCAACTTGGCCTCATCATGAACCTGGACTGGAATAAATGCAATCACGATTTCGGACAATTAGTTCAACAGATTTGAAAACTATGTACATGCAAATCTCATGCAAACAAGAAGTTGAAGATCACATCACTCCAGTATAGAAGAAAAAGTGGGGGGCATGATCCAAGTGTTTAAAATATTAATGGGAAAAAAGGGAATCCAAGCAGCTGCATTCTTCTTGTTGTCTGACAGTACATCAACAAGAGTGTACTGACAGCAGTACATCGACAAGAGGGTACAACTACAAACTGAAAGTTCCCTTTGCAAGAGCTAGATCCAGAGGCCATGTGTTTAGCATGAGGAGTGTGAAAGACTGGAACTCATTGCCGGAGTGGGTGGTAAATAGCACATCAGTTAACCAGTTCAAGACGAACGTAGAGACAAACACTGGGAGCACTGAGATTCAAGCACGTCAGAGTAGACTAGACTGCCGCGGCTCACTTCAGGCAAAGCCTTCCTCAGCTGGATCCAGTATCAAGGTATCTCTTGGCAGTCCAACAGCAAGTTATGACCAACCCCTCCCCCCCCCCAAAAAAATACCACATATAAGAGTTCCTCTGTGTGTTGCAAAATCACTAAAAAGGCAATGTAAGTACTGCAGGGTTCAAAATACACACTTGCACTCTGTGCAAGACTTGTGGGAGATATTCAGACTGCCCGGTGCACAACTTGTAAGTTTTTGCCAACAAAGTAGCTTTTAATTAAAGTTTTAATACAGCTGCCCAGCAGACGGCCTCTGAAATAAACTGTGTCCTGCCCAAGCCTAGCCTGGAAGCCATCTGATTTGTAAAGGGGCTCCTTGCGCTTTTTTGGGCCAGTTTTCAAGTTACTAAGCAGAATATAGCTAATGATTGATTTTTATTCAAGAACTGTAACTGGGGCAACCTGTAATATTGATGAACAACCAAGCTTTTGGCTTAGGTTGCCCAATGGGCTCTGTATTGTCAAGCCATTTGCACATCTATGGAACACATTGACCATGAAAAAGTGCAGTAGCTGAATGTTTAGCTCTTCAACATTAGCTTTTGTACATGTCATTCAGCATCAAAACTCACTGACTGCCAAGGCCTCTTGTGGGGGTTATGTCCTTCTATTCCCTCATATCTCCTGGGTGGGTAGGTATTAATCTAGTGGACCCAATTCCCCTGGATGGCAAAACCAATTTTCACGCTGGAATAACTAGTAGGGTTCTCCAGGTGACAAGTCACCTTTCAAGTCCACCTACGTGGAAAGATCCATTCTTGAACCTGCTAGCTTTTACTACCTCCACAATTTTCAACAGGGAATCTTGTCCAAGTATAAAGCAAAATGCATTATTAACTAGTTGCCAAAAAAGTTTTTGAATGATGTGAATGAAGTTGTCGCAGTTACTTCCAGGTAAAGAAGTATTGTTTTGTGTGGCTGAGCTGTGGGTTTGTTTATCTGTTTGTCCAGACAGTATAGATTGACAGCACGTGGGTGTGGAAGATTGACAGGGAGAAAAGACAGGATGTCAAAAGGTCAGACTCAGAAAATGGGGTCAACAAGGAGGAATTCAGGAAGCCAAGGATTTTACCAAAGTCTGAAATGTCCTTGCTTGCCAGATAGACCCTACTTGTACATTTGCTAAGAAATAATCACAAATACAGAGCCTGAAATACACCACCAATTGTTCCCCTCATGCATTTGTGCTCCTCCAGAGGTATCTTAGCTGGAATCCTCCATTTCCTGAAGCTGTATGCTTGACAGTGGTGATTAATTCAAACCACTCAAACACTCCAACTGTCTTCCCTGATAAAATCAATCAGATGTAGAGGTACGTTCCCATCAACGTCACCACCAAGAGCGATCCACATTGACAACATTCACACGTACTGACAGTGATTTATACAGAATATCCTACCACCTGCAGCAGCTTTGTTTATGTGACAAATACAATTTGCTTAAAACCTCGGCTTCCACGTATCCAATATATGCTGAGCTCAGCAGGTGGGACGGACGGGAAAATAAAAAGATTTCTGTTAAATCTAATATATGGGAGGTACCCCCAGGGAAATAACAGCCAAACTTCCTAAGTGAGAAAAACAGTTCTAAATCACTTACACAAGGATTTAGTGGCATATCGTTCATTTCAAGACTTCAGGTTTGTTTATTAAGACAAATGTTTGGTTGATCCATGAAATAAAATGGAATCAAGAAAGCCCACGGATATTTCCCTAAGCACTTTCAGTATTTAAAGTTGTATCCACCTTTCCTACCTTTCTTTATGTGAGTATGATACAATGTATTAAGTTTTACGAAGACACTACTACCATGCATGAAATATATAGCAGCACTGACTTCTGCACTTTTTCTGAGAACAGCCGGCAATACTGACTGATAGAGTTGTTCCTACGTTTCAAGTATAGTTACTTGAGATTTGCCTGTACCTGTAACTGGTCATTAATCTCCGCTTTTGTGAGTGTGCAGGTTGTTGGGGGGACTGTGCACTATTACTTTGTGGTCGCATGGTAAATGATGGTAATTTCATTCTTTTGGCATTTGGAAGTTAAGTAATGTTGAGCATTATTAGATGCAAATCTGAGCCTATGTGCATAATTTATGAGTGAATGCTACAATACTACTAGTAGTAGCTTTCTTTGCTTTAATACATTGAACTTTTATACTTTGAACAACAACACGTCTTCCCACATCAAGACTCTTTTGATGGATTTGTCTGAGATTTGGCATGGTGGTAGGTAAAGAGGGTATCAAACACCTTAGCCACACTGCAAACACCATAGGGAGGATTGTATCATACAGATTTAGAGTCTAGAGTCTGCAACAACCTGGCCTTCGCTTCTTGCTTATGAGCAAAACTATTTTTCTACCGCCAAGGCTAAACACTGGCACCAGTCGAACATGAATGCCACAATAGCATAACTGCCTGAGCTCAGGGGAAATAAGACAGATATACATGGGACTTAATGTTTCAATGCAATTAGTGTGGCATCAGGCTGTTCAAAGCATTTAAAAGTTCAGGGCTCGAAATTCATTTTTGGGAATAGGTGCACTGGTGCAACCAACCTAAAAAATTGGGTGCTAACTAAGGTGCACATGCACCCAGTATTTTGAGCCCTGAAGTTCCTCCTTTCAAAACTATCAAAACGCAAATTAAGCCATCTGCCTGTACGTACAGGTGCATAATTTATCAACACAGAAGGAATTGCTATCTGAAACGTCACTTCAGAAAATTCATTTTGTTGCTTGATTCCTTTGATATAACATGTGACTACAAAGCAGAAGTGGTAAAATTATTTTCAGAAAACACTTAAGATAACCGTTTGCAACCCCATTTTATATTTCTTATAATTGTAAAATTTGGATCAATATAAAATGTATGACTCAAAACCATGATGCATTGGTCAGATCAACTGCAAATGTTCAAACACTGACAAAACTCTACCCTTCCACCAACAGTAACACTCCCCAATGTCACAACTTATGTCTACATACATGTACATTTGTAACTTAATGTAAGATAGAAACCCAGACGCGACGGTCACCACTGGCCTATGAATTATGCCAAAGAAACGGCTCTAATACCATTCTTCCTCCAAGCAATGACAACAGAATATTCTTTAACGACATAGCTTCCAGGATTCAAATTAAACTGACAGGAAGTAATATTGTTGGCTCCAAGGAAAGCACGAGGTATCATGCAAGGACTCATCAACCCATCACTTTCCTACCGTGAACAAATTTCCCGATCAGAAAGACGGTTCAGGAAGGTGAATCAACCAAGAATTGTAATAATCAGACTGCACGAACCACAAGTAACAAGAGATTTCAGACTTCTGGGAAGTATTTGCGGGATTTGTGCCCTTCAAGTTCATCCATTTCTTATGTCTGACTGTTTGACCTCCATTCATTCTGCCTCACTCTTCCCACCACCAACATGCTGTCAACCTACTCCCAAGTTCATTCTATTCCCTATGTCTGACGTTTTCCATGATTCTGCTTGTCAATCTTCTGCTACCTACCATGTGCTGTTGACTTACATTTTGGATGAAGCATACTGTGCTTTTCCTAGCATGATATGGACTCAATACCTTTAAGTTTAAGTTCATCAGAGATCTACCTCCTGTGAAACTTTCCCAACTCCTTAACTTCCTTATCTTGTCTTACAAGTGAATAATAGGTCACTGAGTTTTTAAAATAAGAGCCCGAGGAAAAAGTAACTAATAGCCAAGACATCACCAACATCTGCTGATCAATCCCAGGAGTATATGCATGAAAGTTCAAGTCCTGATGGTTCTTTGAGGAACTTGACGGGAACGGCCGCGTGGGACCATTTAGATAGGGAAGATGCCTGCTGCAGGCTGCAATTTTGTCAATACAGAAGTTAATGACTATCTGTCTCCCCCGTCCCTGGCGACAGGCGGGAAATGAAATGGCGTCTGCAGATGAGGCTTGTTGATTGGAGAGGCAGGCTCTTTTGTGCGGCGGTTGGTAATCCATTCACCAGGACACAATGGTCTGAATACCAAAACCCCTTTGTTGGAAAATTGGGGTGGTTACCGCACTTGAACGTGACATTGAGATGAATGCGGACATCATCGCCGTCAGCCGTGGAAGATAAATTTTCAATTACCTCGGCTTCCCCATCTCAAGTCTGTTGAATGGCTTAAGCCCAAGGCAGATATGTTTAAGCCGTGGATCTAATTACTGCGCTAAATTATGATGGGCACTGATTTTCACCTGGATCACCTTTTTAACACCTCTTCAAGAACACTGAAGGATGAAAAGCAATCTTGTTTGAAATAACTGACAAAAAAACTTTGTCTTGAAATTGACAAACTATCAAGGCAAACTTTACTTTCAACCAGACAAGTTTGTGATCTGCACTTTTTTATACACTATCTTAAAAAGATGTACATGTACAAAGCCTTACTAAGGCAAGTTCAATACAGTAAATCTTGAAACTATTGAAGTGGTTTCATTTTTGCAATTTTCACAGTCACCTCTCCAAACAAATTATCTCCTTTGTATTACTACTGTACTACAGAATTTAAAACACTGGGAACACCTTGTTTTTTCCTCGAGCTCCTGTAGCGAAATAAAACCACCATGAAATTAATCAATCTACAGTATTACATTTCTTTTTAAATTCAACCCATTGTTGCCACCCACCCCCATAATATGATAAGTCTACACAAAGATGTCCTTGGGACTTCCTTTCCATTCATTCTTGCCTGGCTTCAAAGTTTGCCTTCATTTCCTTGACAAATGGATGTAATGGAAATACTTGATGGGTTGCTCAGACCATGACCATGGCTGAAAGTGCATCTGGTTTACCCAACTTCCTTCTAACCCCCTAGACATCATCATCATCTTCCTGTTGTCCTGATGCTAGTGGGGGATAATAGTCACCAACTGACCTCTGAGAAAAACACTGATGTATAGATGAAGAACACAGGCCCAGGGGACACAGGCAAATGGACCCATAAGAATCCTCACAATTTGCCGGGAGGTGGGCGGCCTTGATGCCTGTCACAATCTCGGCCTATCCACATTTCTCATGACGTTGAAATGGGATGGGCAGACAGCGACTTACTTCAAGAAAACAAGTTTTGCCAGCAGCCGCTGCGTCTTTTGGGCTAGATCTTGGTGAAATCATCATGATGTTTGCTGCTTGTCACAGTTATACAAGTAGCCTGGCATTTGAAAATTTCAGACCACCTCTCTTGATTTTCAGAGGCTTCAATAAATGTTTCCACATGAAATGATACAACAAAGAAAAGTGCACACTGCATTTATGTTCACATACATTATTGTACATATTCTGTAAATCATGAAAGATTTGCATTGCTTTTTTTTTTGTGGTTTTCAACTTTAACTCATCTTTAAAAATAAAGAGAAACTGAGCTCTCCTGCTGGAAACATTGGCCATAAGTTTTCGCCCTGTATTCTCATTGGAGCCTTAATGGGGAAATATGTTTCCGACTATTTGTATGGATGGAACAAGGAAATTAGGAGGAGCCTTCAGCCCAGGAGCAGCCAGAAGTGATTCTTCTTCCGTCTCCAGATGGCTCCAATTTTCAGGTCCATTCTAAACTTGTTGAGGCAGAGATTGGAGCTCATGTATCACAGAAATGGCCTTCCCTCAATACTGGCCCTGATCAAGATTTGCGATACCCTTGGCAGAAGCCTCCAAACTGGCATCCTGTCTTGTTACTGTGAGGCTGAGACAAATTTATTTCTCAACCACCCCTGTTGCCATCAATCATCAGCAGGTTAAGAGATAAGAGCAAGGCTTACAGCTTTCATAGCATCTCTAACATGTATAGAGGACTTTCAAATATCTTACATGTCTAGAAACTACAGAAATGTGTCTAAAGAGATGTGGGGCACACTAACAATCCTACTGGCAAGCATTCTTACAGAAGACATGGGCACACCACAGAGGAGTGTCTTCTTATTCAATATCAATACCTGATGGGATATCATTCCTGTATGTTGAGATATTCCTGCTAAACTTCACAATGCCAGAGTTGTTTGGTCACAGCTAATGAATATGATGGAGTGAAGTTGTTCTTTCCACAGTCACTGACTACAGTTTGAAGGCAGACTTTCACACTACTCCTACTTCCAATTGCAAATTCGGACGTCAAAGGCTTCCCACCCTGGCCCCAAACCCGAACGTGTCCTTGATGGGGACCCAGTAGTACTGTCTCCAGCCAGCCTTTGTTCTGTCAAAGTCGCTGTCCGGGATTCCAGTCTGGGTCAGCCTCATCACGGTGTGGTCATGCTTGTCTATCAGCTGCACGGTCACCACAGAGTAGTGTGCTGGGGAAATACAAGCAACATTTCAGTAAGAGATATGGGCAGAAACAACTTCATTGTACAGTGTATATGACTATAACATCTGTAAGATGTCAGCTGTGCTTCAAGCAGCAGTGTTTTGTTCACTGATGGCAAAAAGATTGTTCAAATGTTGGCTGTCAACAAGCATGCATGTGTGACCCTTGGGTAAGGTCTTCATTCCTCACTACCCTAGTCTATTATGTGTTATTATACAGGGTTTGTCAAACTGGGGACAGTAGCCTTAAACTATAGTGGTAGTTTCATCTCTCTGCCACATGATGCTACTGAAACTTGAGCAACACCCATCCATGTGAGCTACATGGCTGAAGTCAAAGTGCAAAAGAAGTGTCAATGAACTTGTAATTAATAATTTGTCATATCTTAGAGATGTAAGAGACAAATACATGTACAGAGCTTTTCTCACCTGGTGGCCATGACTTGAACCTCCACCTCATCACAATTTTGTTAGGGAAGGACTGCAGGGACAGACAATGCACATTGGAAATGATGTTCATGCGACACTAACGCTGTGAATGACAAATTTCAAATACACCAAAAAATAAAGTAAAAAGAAAGCAAATTTTCTCTGCTTCAGATCACTTTTATGTTACTAAAAAGTATTAGTATTTGTAAAAGACTGACAAAATGCATCACAATAATTAATTGCCTTTCATATCTAGCCAAGTAAGCTTATAATATGAGTACATCAGAATGTCATGGCTTATGTGTGCCTTACCAGCTCATCAAAGATCCCCTCCACCATGCCGTTGAAGAGTACAAAAGGGCCGCCTTTTTCTGTCTCCATCTCTGCAGGACTGTGTGTCCAGGCCTGCACTCTCTGGGAAACAACATAGCAATGGTTAACATTTTAATATTCTATTAACTTAATTGTGGGTAGGAAATTCTCTAACTCAAGTGCTTCTAAAAAGTAAAATGCAACCCAGACACACAGTCAGTCGCAATGATCATCTTACAAATGAATGATTCTTACAAAGTGGTACCCATTATTGTTACATGATTGTTACAATAAGATTTCTAATGATACACCCAGCATGTTTTCAAACATATTGTGCTGAGTTTAGGTGTGGATCAGAAGTCTAGTAAGTAATGAGGACTTACCACCACGTCTGTCAGGGTGGTGTACAGCTCGTCAGGTGGGCAGAGGAAGTCCTCCTGGTACTTGTACGTGAGTGTATTGATCTTCACACCTATGTTCTGCTCCTTTGGTGCTGCTTTACTGACAACTGGCAGTGCGCTCATATCCTACATACAGACAAGATATCAGTGAGCATTTGGGGCATCAGCATTTAACAAAATTGATGCTGACTCAAATTTCATGCTTTAAGAATTGGCAAATTCCAGATGGAGGAACAACTTACCTTTTTGACCACCGGCTTCTTTTCTGTTGCTGTTGGAGATTTTTTCTGATCTTTGGAGGGAAGAATTAAGTTCTGGGAAAATTCTGAAAAGAAAAAGACGTTTCCCTCATAAACAAAGCACCTCAAGCATGAGTTAGATATTCTGTTAACTAATGCCAATACAAGAGGGCATCGGGACTTTACATGTGCATCTACAAGAGAGCAACAACTGATACAGTAAATTGACAGAAAGAAAGCTACCTGTTTTTAAATCTTTAATGTACTGGCCGAGCCTTTCTCTGATGATGTCTGAACCCTTTTTCCTGACGACTTCCTTGACTTTGTGGGCCTCGTCTGAATTAGACTTCACAGAAACATTTACCTGGACAGAGGGAAAAGTAAGTGTGAGCTAAACAGTCTCAACTAACAACATACCAGTATGTCCTACTTGGCAAACATAACTGACTGCAGATCTAAGGATAAGGCATTCAAATGCCTTACAGTAATTTTCAGATTTAATCTATCTTGAAGATTAACTAAAGACAACAAGGAGGATACTCACATCTATGTCCTCAATATCATTCTCTTCACTCAGGTTGGGTATTTCTGCCTTGCCAGTAAAACTTGTTTTACTCTCCTCAAGGCCGCCTGTAAAAAGGTGTTGGGTAGAAGCTGTTTTACTCAGGACTCTGGACTATGATTTACTAAGGAAATTACAGTAAGCTTTCATTGAGATGTTAGAGAGAGCTACAACAAAAGTCAATTGCTGGTACCATAGGCTTTCAAAACTTAACTACTTCTATTCCTTTCAGTCACATTGCCAATCTAGGCCATTTTATGCTTTGATCACAGAAAGGAGAGATGACCTATGTGAAAGGAAAAAAAATAGCAAAACAAAACAGACATATCTATAAGATCAGCATACCTTTCCATTCCAGTTCTAATTCCCACTCATAAAAGTAGATTAACTTCTTTTTTCTGTTGTTGATTGTGGCCTCGCCCTCAATCTTGGAGATGTCCTTTATCTGACACTTCACTGTGACGAGGACAAGATAGGGCACATGTTAACTTCACAGTCAGTTCAGGCTGAAAAGCAAATTGTTTTTTGTTTGCACAACTGGTAAACAGCCTTTGGGCGTAACACACCAGTTTTGTAGAGTGGTTATAAGCTGTGTAAACCAGACTGTAACTACAAACAGTACTAGTAGTATAAGGTTTGAACCACTTACATCGGAAAGGAGCCCTTCTCTTCAAGGCTCTCCTCAAACATGGGACCTCCAGCTTTTCGTCCCATCCAAGAGGATGTTTCAATTCATTACTGTGATTACCACTGTTACTACTAGTGTTAGTGATATGTATGTGTGTATGTGTACTATTCCTTTAGATTTCTTCTTGAAGCCTAGCCGTGGCGACTCTTGATTCGGGCTTACATTGCATTACCCTCAGGCAAGAGTCGTGGAAAGATCCATTGGCAGAACTGCACATTTCCCGTTGGCTGCACGATGCTCCGTTTTTGACCCGGTTTTTTGCTGTCCCGAGCTTCCCTACAATATAACTCCACAATTGGCCGGGTTGCCGATGTTTAGATCAGCCTAAATATTCCACAGCGCGACAGAAAAGTAGTAAAATAGCTAGTCGGCACAAGGTGGCGGCCATCTTGGATATAGTCGGGAATGTCCGCTACCGCCGTCGGGAACGCTCGGTAGCCTTTCCGGTTATAATCGGAGAGCTTTCGGTCGCGCTTCGGTAATCGTGACGCTACCGAGCGTTCCCGACGGCGGTAGCGGACATTCCCGACTATATCCAAGATGGCCGCCACCTTGTGCCGACTAGCTATTTTACTACTTTTCTGTCGCGCTGTGGAATATTTAGGCTGATCTAAACATCGGCAACCCGGTCAATTGTGGAGTTATATTGTAGGGAAGCTCGGGACAGCAAAAAACCGGGTCAAAAACGGAGCATCGTGCAGCCAACGGGAAATGTGCAGTTCTGCCAATGGATCTTTCCACGACTCTTGTCTGAGGGTAATGCAATGTAAGCCCGAATCAAGAGTCGCCACGGCTAGTCTAACTTATGAGTAACTGCCCCCCCCCCACGATTTTACAAGTTTTGATTCAGTTGCAGTGTCAAATTAACACAAACTTTGGTTTAGCACTGGAGCTAGTTTGTTATGATAGGCATCCAAAAACATGCCTTTATCACAGTATGATACACATACACAGAGTTTTGAAAACCACTGTTAAACGTCAGCAAAATTGTTATATCATGTGGTTCATGTTCGCCCAAACATCCACTCACCCTTCTGCCATTTTTAGTACTTCAGCAGACGTCCTCCTGAAATTCAACACAAAATTGTCACTTTATTTCATCACTTGATATCCATACATTAATTCAGTACAAAATTTGTGTATCGATGTTGCAAAAATGAAGAGAAACAGAGGGGATTGCCAGCGATGTCACACTTACGATGAGCCTTCCGCGGAATATCAGCATGAAAGAGGTCGACTTAGGTCATGGCGCTAAGAATGATGGGAAGAAGTGAAACAAGGCCTGTCCAATGCAGAAGTGCCGGGTTGCTTCGTCACACTTTGAATATCATAACATTTTCTAGCATCATGCTCCAAAGATTGTCGGCAGAATTACATGCAGATTTAAACGCTAGTAAAACTGTAGCACATTTAAACGCAAATTGTAAATTTAAATATAGTTTAAAAACAAAAGAAAACGACTTCAGTATACTAGTATAAAGGCTTACTACTACTACTCTCCAAGCAGAGGTTTGGGTTTAGGGTTATTTTTGGCGTGTTTTTAGGCTTTTTTATCGGGGTTTCTCTTTTGCACTGGAATTTTTCTTTCACCCAACCCAACTACTACTACTACTTGTACTCTAATAGCATCCACAGGCGACGCGACGTGCGTCCCCTAAGTTTCCAAAATTATTTTTTTAACAAGAATGCGTCCGGCTGGTACAGGTATCGTGTACTTTCGAATTCAATATGCTCAAAACATTAGGTCCAGTCAGTAATCAATTACCATCTTTTATCGTTGGAAGGAAACCATAACTAGAAAGGGAACATTTTGCGGCAAAGCAAATGCATAGTTACCTTCGCATATATGGTCTGCTCTGTTAATTCTTACTCAAACGCATTCATATATATATGGTCTCAATCCCTCCTGCTATAAAATTGCAACATGATGTAACCAAAACTCGTTTCGATGGTGACAGACGTCTGGTTCAGGTCATTGAACTTATTTGTTTGGAGAAGAAGAAGAGGAAGAAGAAACAGTGCAAAAACAATATGTTTTCCTTCCTGCGAAGGTAAACATAATGATTAAAGCCGCAAGGAGGTGACTAGACCTATATAATATTATATATGTGAAGTTAAGCCTCTGTAAGCTGCACAACAAATTTCTTTGGAACTAGCCATCATGATGAACAGCATTTAAGGGCACAGCATATAACGTTACTAGTATTGTTATGGACATCCTCCACAGGCTCCAAATCTAATGCGATAGGGCAAGAAAAATTTTAAAACAAGGCGGGCAAAAAAAATTTCCTACAATTTGAAATTTCAGATTTTCAGAAATTGAGATTTCAAATTTTGATATTGTGCTGTTTACTGCCAACTATTAACGTTACAACATTCATTTCTCGCTGAAACAACTTTAAATAACAAAAGTTTTCTATCGATATCATTGCACAAATGGTTTTCAGTGGGAACATCACATAGACAAAACCACCATCACATATAAAAGGAATAAGATATAAAAATTTCTTGTTTTTTTTTTCAAAATCAAAATTAATGCACGCGCTGCAGCTGATGTCCTCCATAAAATTACTTGCTGTGGTCAGAAAATGAATTCACCGCCACCTTTTTCAAGTGTGCTTTCTTTCTATAAACTTTCGAATTCCGAAATACGCCTTTACTGCATCATGGTGTGTCAGACGACGGTCGCGGCCAAGTGTCGGCGGAAAACGAGCTCGAAAAGCTTAAGGGACTAGCTTACCGTGGTCCGTGGCAGTCACGGACTGCTCATGGTAGAAACCTACTATCATACATTGTGTACACAATAGCAGGCTCTACAAAGTCCGCATTTTTTGTGGTTCATAAAATTATCTGCTTTTTCAATTTTTCGAATTCTGATGACATACTAGCTAGGTTTCTAGAGGGTCGCCTCCGCAGAGCCTACAAACCGTGACAAAGGAGGTTAACCGTGTTGAACGTGAAGAAGTTACCGTGATGTGTAGGTCAAGCAGCATAAGAGAGAGGATCGATCCTGAAAAGAAAGATTATAGCAAGGACATTATGTCCTTGATTATAGTATTGCAAGGAGGTTAAATACAAGTACTTGTATTTAACCTCCTTGAGTGTTGACGTGGTGGTGAAATATTTTTTCAAGCTTTGAGTTTGAGCGACATTTTTCCTTTTCATTACGCTTCACGATCACTCTTCAACCTCGTTGACCCCGCGACAGTGAGTCAATTTTTCCACACTGACGTTCTCCCAACATCAAAACTTTCCCTTGCCAAGTTTTACTGTTCTGTCCACCGCACCGATCGAAGTTCGCTTAATACCTCATGATCTGAAACATCATATGCGCAAACAGAAACCATTGGCAGCGCTGGACATAAACTTTTAAAACGGATGTCTTGTTGGTCTGCGCATGCCTTCGTCGGCACTATGGCTTGGGTACCGATCCTCCGCAGTATGATACTACGTTTCTAACTTTTCCGGCTTGCTACGGCAGCCGGGGCTGCGGTAGAGGGAGAGTCAGTAACTACACGGGATAGTACCCACTATAGAGGAACAAGGCATCCTGCGCCGATACCGTTGGGAACGGATAGTTGCTGGACTCGGAGCGGCTGCCTTAACGTCAGGGCCGTCGATGATAAAGCACCGTAAAAGTATGACGGTGCAAATCACAGCAAACGTTGTCCATGTCTTCTTCGAATTTTGACTAGTACTTTCTGTACACTACACCGGTATCCAAATATAACCTATTATAGCTGTCTTTTTCGTCCTCTCCAAAATATCAAGTTCCGGATAGGACAAAAAGTACTCGGCAGCTATAATAAGTTAGGATCACAGTGTTTGGCTGCCAGGCTATCTATAACGAACAGCAGTACCAGTAAAAGCTAGTCATCATGGGGTTCCTGGATTCAGCTTGGAAGCGATCGCCATGACGAATTTAACCCGGTTTAACTTCACTTCATGCAATCGTTTTAGTAAACGTTTTTGAAAGATATAGAGTATGAGGAACATATGAACTGGCAACTCCAAATTGATTACTTTTTTTCACTCTCGAGCTCATTCTGACGGCCTGTCGAATGAAGTTGGGGTAAACACTGATCAAAGTTTGCTGTGCGTAAGTTTGGTAATAAGTAAAATTCGAGTCATTTGATTTTCTTTGTACATCTCATGTGTATGTTTTAAGGTTACATAAAAAAGTGATTTTGAATCATAATAAAGTAAAAAAGAAAAATGACCTTCAATCAATTCCAATATAATATAATGCCAACCAATCTTGATACGACCGCTACTAGACGCTGTAACCGCTAAGTTTTCCAGATCAGTAGTCATCATCCAGAACGTTGTGCAATGGAGGTACAAACCATTTTTGAAAACAAACAAATGGTAACTGTAGATCGGTTTCACTAATTTTCAAAGCACAAATACATGTAAATGTAACGTTAGATGTTGGGGACAGGTCATAACGTTCTGACAGTTTAAATTCACTGGCAGCATAATTAACTATATGTAGGAAGTTATATACTAGTGATAACAGTTATATCTTTTAGAATGCGACATGTATTCTGCCAGAGGAACCGGACATATATAAAGCTATGGTCTTCTACCCAACATCTGCTTGGAAATGAGATGTTCCCGGAAACCTCCACTTCCTGATACTAATGAATATTGATGAGGAGAAACTCCCATATTAGGTAAAATTGCTTACTATTCATGTGTCCGCCATTTTGGAAATTGACGGCTGAGGGTGAACAACAAAAAGGCCGGAAAACCGAACTCAAGCGGCGATTTAAGTCAAATTTCGGCCTTGACTG